GGAGAGAGGAAGGTCTCGATACTAACGCAGAGTGTGCAAACCCAAGCACTTTGACTCGGGGCACATGTTGTGCCAACTCAGGGAAAATCCAAGCGACTTCAGTATCATCGAGAATATATGACATGCCCTTCGTTCACTCTCCCAACGGCTGCCACTCAATGTGATTAAGCTTGCTTCGCTGACATGTCGGAAGTGTGTCAATCTCGAATGCCATGAATATAAATGTTTATGCGGGGCTTTTTTTTTACTTCTGGTAGATTTTTTTTGAAAATAAGGAATAGGTGCACTGGAATTGTCAATGGGAGAATTTTAATGCAATTTAAGATCACTATTTCAATGCAGAATAGGATAATTGGGGGTTTCATGTTAGATTTATTACGGATGTTTAAATGGCATCTGGAGTTTTCAAATTCATTGGCAAATTGTTGCTCAATTTTCAAATTATTTATTCATTTTCATTATCATGTAGACTTGTAAATTATAATTTCCCTGAATATTTCAGAATTCGACAGATTTTTCAATAACAAAATACATGAAAATTTTGTGTGAATGAGATTGTTAAAAATTTCAAGATTTTTTACGTGAAATTTCAGGAGAGTTTTCAATGGATTGAAAATGCAGGAAAATTGTTGTTTGAATTTTCTAATTATTAGATAATTTTCATTATCATGTGGACCTGTAAATTACAATTCCCCTGAATATTTCAGAATTCGACAGATTTTTCAATAATATAATACATGAAAATTTTGTGTGAATGAGATTGTTAAAAACTTCAATATTTTTTACTTGAAATTCCAGGAGAGTTTTCAATGGATTGAAAATGCAGGAAAATTGTTGTTTGAATTTTCTAATTATTAGATAATTTTCATTATCATGTGGTCCTGTAAATTACAATTCCCCTGAATATTTCAGAATTCCACAGATTTTTCAATAACAAAATACATGAAAATTTTGTGTGAATGAGATTGTTAAAAATTTCAAGATTTTTTACGTGAAATTTCAGGAGAGTTTTCAATGGATTGAAAATGCAGGAAAATTGTTGTTTGAATTTTCTAATTATTAGATAATTTTCATTATCATATGGACCTGTAAATTACAATTCCCCTGAATACTTCAGAATTCGACAGATTTTTCCATAACAAAATACATGAAAATTTTGTGTCAATGAGATTGTTAAAAACTTCAATATTTTTTACTTGAAATTCCAGGAGAGTTTTCAATGGATTGAAAATGCAGGAAAATTATTACTTAAATTTTCAAATTATTTAATCATTTTCATGTGGACTTGAATACAAAATACAAAATGCATGAAAATTTCGTGTGAATGAGTGATGACTAAAAATTTCAAGATTTTTACTTGAAATTTCCTGCGTAATTTTCCAACAGTGCACCGAATGACTTGTCCTCTCTCGAGGAAAGGAAATTCCGAAAAAAATTTGATACCAAAGTTTGAGACCCTTTTCAAATGTCAAACTTTCGGGGTTTAATTTTATCCTCAAACTTAATCTCAGTGTGCTGCTGAGTTTTTCCGGGGCCGAGGGGGAGAGGCAGTAAGAGAGGGCAAAGTTATCCAATTATTGTCTAACCAGCGGGCAACTTTGCCCCGCCGAGCTCTCGAACCGTCCCGAGGACCCGGGCGGGAAGGGGCTCGCGAAAACACCCGCGGATAAAGTTCCCCTGCGGTTGTCAATGTGTCATTTATACATGTGCCAAGACACTCGCGATACGATCGGCATTTTTATTTCTCCAATTAATTCCTCAAAACAGAGGGACGGGAGAATCATGAGGAAGAGGTTAACGGAGAATACAACGGTCTGAGGGCCAGGGGATGAGGACAAGTTAACGTTCAAGGAAAAAGGGTAGCGACTACTTAAAGTTTGCGGAAAGTTTGAGTTGGAGCAAAGTTAACTCAGTTAAGTTTCTCTCTCCCTCATTCTCGAGTGAAACGAAACTTCCCTACTTCACCGAGGGTTTAGTTTCTCTGTCTCTCGTGTCTCCCATCTCTCCACCGTCTCTCATCGCCACTCGAAATCTAACATAACTCATTACAGTTGCAATAATTTCCTCTTCACGCTTGAATAAAAGAATAGGGAGATTAAAAAATTTACAACAACTGGGCACGTGCACTCGTGTTTATGGAAAGTTTTCGTTTGAATAGGAAGAGAATGCTTGTTACGGCGCGGGGGAAGGGGACTTTTTGTCGGAGGGGAAGTTTAGGCGGTTTGTTCCGAGGAGGAGGGTAGGACGGGGGTATTTTCTCGCTTTGGAATGGCATCTTGACTCGGTAGTTGTTATATAGTTGAGTGGTGGCAAGCGATGGCCGGCCCCCGATCGATGTCCCGGCAACTTCCCACCCTCTCTCTCTCTCTCACGCTCTCTCTCTCTCGCTCTCAGTTTTACCTCCACTCCGGCGCTCGCGGCGGCGTCCTATGCCCCCTCCCACCCCCCGCATCGCACTCGTCCTTCTGCCCTTCACCATCAAAACCTCTTGGGCTCTTCATCGCCTCTTGCACTGACTCGACAATCCCAAAGACTGGTTAAGTCCCTACGCGGCTCTGTTTACGGTGGACCGAAATCATGAAAAATGGTCATTCATTCCAATTTAGCATTTTGGGACTGTTGAAAAATTTTGACTGAAATTTGCATTATATTTTAATTGGGAATTCGGATGGATTTCTGATGAATTATTTGAAAATTCAACGTAATTTGGTACTGAATATTCATGTTCTCGTTGAAAATTCATGTCAATCGGGGAATTGCCGTCTTCCTGCTGCTCAAAAATGCGAAATTTCATTGAACTTCCGGTGAAAGTTCTGTTTAAATGGAGTTGAACGTATCTCTACTGAATATTACTAGTTCATTTTCTTTTTCTAATAGTAGTGGGATGAGATTAATGATTTAAGCATTTAATTTTTTTTATTAAACATTTGGTAATTATTTCATTGCTTAAGCCCTGAATGCTTGATTTCATCCGTTATTTTCAATCGTTGGGAATCATTTTTTCAATTTGAAAAATTATAAAGAATTTTTTAGGTGAATTCGCAAAACATTGGAAAATTCAACTTTCTCATGAATTTATTCATGTAAATTTTTAGCCCTCACTTATGCTAGCGAATATTCCGCTAGATCCAACTTAATTAATTTACAAGCAATCGAGTGCACCAGAAATCCACTTCGAAAGCTTAAACAATTGTTTATAATTCTCGAGATTAATTCATAAAAAAATGTTTCAAAGAGCAATTGTTTTCTAAATTCAAGGCTTTTTTCATTCGAGCTTCGCTAATCCGAAAGAAATGATTGATGAAGTAATGCCAAAGTAGCAATTATTGACGATTACAACCTTTTTTCACAAATAATTCACAAACAATCAATCCTGTCCTAAAAAAATTCCTCGAACACTCAGAATGTCATCAAAAATCAATTTTACGGTTTAAATTAGCCATTCCCATTATTTATTCCTTTATTGACATCGTCAACTGCCTCGGCAAATCGCATAAACATGAATAGCAGTGATTTTCGTTTAGTTTTACTGTCCGTCCTCACCCGAAGAAAGCGTTTTCTTCGTATTACCTCAGGTCAGTTATACGATGCCTTAGCATAAAGTGGGAATAGATAAAACCCGAGGGGGAAACAAATACCGTATGAAACATGCACGCACTTGTGCTGGAATTGTCGGTGGAGGGGGACAAGTGAAAGAGACACAAAGGTAAATTGGCGGAGGAGCGGGAGGGGAATGAGGGAAACGAGTCGTCGAGGCGTCGAATTCAGCGGGTGGGGAGGGGAATCGAAGAGCAGTCACGAGTACAGGCTTGCGATAGTGTTGGTGCCTGGTGGAAAGGAACTGTTTCGTACTGGGGAAGGGGGCGGAGGAGGAGGTGGAGGGCACCTGTTACAACTTTCAAGTCCAAACGACTTGTCCCGAGAAGTCTCACAATCACCAATCCCTCTTCATTTTCTTCCTGCCTACTAGGTTTTTTTTATTGACTTTCTTCTGTCCCCATGCTGTACAGATTTATTTACGAGAGAGTAATACTCCGCTTTATTGGGATAATTAAGCGTACGATGAAGTGATGAAGCATAATTTAGGAGAGAAGCGGTAAAATGGTTCAAGTTAATTTTGACTATTGGTCAGTTTTCCCGAAAAATCCTAAACATTTTCAGCATGTTTAATTTCCACCGAAATTCCGGGAAATTCTGTCACTGAAAAATGAAATATTCCATTAATTTTCTCTTCGAATGATCTGAAAATCATTGAAATACTTGATTTTTCAGGGCAATTATTCCGTGAAAATTCATGTCATTTTGTTTCAGAATATTCACGTTCCCTTCAAAATTCAATAAAGCTGGGGAATTTCCGTCCCACTGCCACTGAAAACTCATGAATTTCCTTGAATTCTACCTGAAACTTGAAACTTCGCACAATTTTTCCCCTAAATCGGATTCAATGTCACTCTCCCGAGAACGACTACCTCATTTTCCCCGAAACTTGGAAAAATTTCTACCAGTGTAGCTCTGAATCCAAGGAAGATGGCAAAATTTTGTCACGACCTTTTTGTGGCCCTCAATTTCCTCCATAAAAAAAGTTACCACGAAAATTACGGCATCTCCCTCGCTTCGCCCCTGAATTGTCCATAAATATTATAAAATTTCTCAATCGCCAGTGGAATTTCTCTCGCTCGATCGAATTATTATGATGCAGTTAATTTGCATTATCAGCGAAAAATCAATAAGAATTGTTGCATTTCTCAAGGGGGAGGGGGTAATACGGGTCACAGCATAAAGCTGAATAAGCGCATCTCCAATCACTCGTGAGTTGAGCCTTTCAACAAATTACGTAAGTCCTGAGGAGCGAGCACTCGTTTTGAATGCTAAAGGCAATTTCAGCCGATACCACACACATGTGTGTCGTGACACTCGTGCATGCTTTTATTTTTCATGCGTAATATGGGAATCATGTTGAGCGAGTGGAGGTTTGTAGAACCGGGTGGCTGGGCGCGGAACGACGCACGCGAGCTGCGGAATGATATAAAAAAATGTCGAGGGGGGGGGGAGAGATTCAATGAAGAGTAAACCGCGACATTGAGGCTAACGCGGGGCGAGGGGCCGAGGGGGGAGGGAGCGAATGAGAGATTGATGGGGGGAGCTGTTGGGGATCGTTTATTCGAGGTAAATTTGGGCGAAAGTTGCGTAAATATCGTATTCATTATATTTGCCGTTGAAATCAGGTCACCGATGGAGTCATTTCAATCTCCAACTTGTGAAGTTTGGATTTGATGAGTTGCGAGGAAGGGCCCGTTGTGCATTCAGTGGAATGACCCCTGACCTTTTAATCCTCCTCAATGTGTCCCGTTATCCCCTGCATTCGTCTTTTTTTTCGCGGCAGAGTTCTCTCGGTGAGGGAACTTTCTCGTTATTTACGATTGTTCATTCATTCTCTCGTAAATGAGAAACCAATTATGCGGGTTTCCCCCCCCCCCCTTAAATTTACATCTAAAACATTTTTATCGTTTCATTTCGTTCTCGAAGGCTCCCAGACATTCTCACTCGATTGAGCGTCAACTCGAATCGAGATGAATTACTAGACCAGAAATGAGTCACGACACGGAGGCTTTGGATCTCGGCATCCTTTTAATTCACCAAGTGTCAACCGCCATTATTTTCTCCCCATCGCATGCACCCACGTTACGCCTCGTCCCCGGCCCCCAACCCCTCAGTGGCGTTGTTGAAAAACCTCATGAACTCGTGAACTTGAAAATTACCCCGAAAAATCCAATCCTGTTGATGAAAGTGGGCGCGCGCGCCGTTAGCACGCGTGTGCACATGCAGCCACGCATTATTCTGCGTATGCATCGTGGCGTTGTCGAGCCGCGTGGAATTCACGAACAACGGGTTAACGCATTGCCTCCCCCCTCCCCCGCCTCGTCGACGACCCGTGAAAGCAGTGAAAATAATAAAAACGCGAGTCCCTCGTCGTCCGGACGCACCGGCACAGCACGCCGGAGAATAATCTCTAATATTAATGCCAACTAACCTGTCGGAGACCCACAGCAAATCTTCGATTAATCCACCGTTGACGTCTTATCAATTGGCGGTTTATTTTTATCGATTGTAATTGCGCTCTCGTCGAACTTCAATCCCTCATGCAGCACTTCCCCCCACTATTTTTTTTTCGTTAATTCACTTGTATTTTGAGCACTAATTGTTAAATACTTGTTGTTACCCCCCCACCGGTGGATCCACCGATTTTTTTTTCTTGTCACTGGGGGTATTCTCGGCACAATTAATAACTGGATCTCGCACAGGAGACGGAGTTAACGAACGCCAAAGTCTCGGGGGGGAAACAACGATTTATGGGTTTTTTGATTTATTATTATCAACAACTTTTTTGGTCGTTTTAATTGGTGGGTTCAGGTGTTTGGGGAAACAATCAGAGTGGGCCCTCGGGTGTTCTAGGATTAACCCACCATCTACGGAATCCGATGCACATTTGTTGGAAAAACTGGGATTTGTGAGTTATTGGGGGGAAGTGGGCGATTGTCTCGGTGAGTTTTACGGGCTTTCGATTTTTTAATATTCGGGGATTGTTGTGTTAACTGATGCTTCGCGATGCTCACTACCTCACTGGAGGAAAATGGCGGCCCCCGGACGCCCCGAGTGACTCGCGCGCGCCACCGACATTGCACGGGGGCGGACGACTAATGCCGAGGGGGGAATTTTCTGATTTTTTTATTTTTGGGGGTTTTGGGACGGTTTTGGGGGGTTTTATGGGTTCGGGGGTTATTTTAGCGCGGGAGAGGTCGGAAACTCGCGGGATTCGGGGGTTTCAGAGACGAATGACGGGATGTGGTCAACGGAATTGACCAATGGGGGAGGCTTCGGCGGGCGCGTAGAGCCCGGCAAATTTTGAATACTTCATGACGAGTTTTTTATTCCGAAGTTTTGGTTTGGTGAGGATTCCGAAGACTGTGAATATTTTAATGAATGGGGAATTATGAGGAAATTTTTAAGATAATTATCCATTTTTTAAATTTCGGGCGATTTTTTGAAAACTATTTTATGAAATTAAAAATTTATTTATTTGTAGAATTTATTAATTTGCAGAAATTTCCTGAAATTGAAATGAAATAGTTATTTGACATTCCGTTTGAATGGAACGGAAAATGAAACACGAATTTTTCCATTTTCCTAAAGTTTCGAATATCATTTTTTCGATTCGAACAATTCAAATATTTGTGATGTTCAATAACTCCATTTAATTTATTTTAATTTATAATTAATTTAATTCAATTTATTTAGAAATAATTACTCGTGAATATTTCAAACAGGCAGTATTTCGCCGAGCTCTCGATTTGCGACACGAGTTTCTGCGGAGATCCTAACCTCAGACATCGAGTGAACACACACTCACATCCCCTTTGTGTGAACATTCTCTTATACACAGACACGGTGAAGAGCTGTTCTGGGCTATTGGTGAAGTTCGAGGCAGCTCGGATGTTGTGTGTGCATGAGTTAAAGGTCCGTGGGTTCAGTTCCACGCAGTTGCTGAGTTAAAACGTTCTACATCCCCGAAATAACGTTTTTCACTTCTTTGTTCGATCTCTTTCATCTCATATCAATCCAGTTCTCATAATTTCAATGATTTTAATCAAGATGACGAGGAATTCTGGGGTTTGGAGCGTTTAACAACGACGAAATAGAGGAGAAAGGAAAACAAAGAGTGGGGGTGATAATTTTTTTTTCTTTCTGCTTATCGACGAAGTATTTTCTCGTGATTAGGCTCGTAGCTGTCATCGAAAATGTCGGACATTAAGAGCATGGAACATCCCACTCTCAAGGTAATTATGATTAATTCATCATTCACACGTATGAGAACAAAATGGAAAATTAAATCAATAACGATCGGGGAAAAGTGATGTCGAATGAACCTGTTTAAATCGTCAGTATTTTTCTTACCAAATGTGGCACGATTTATGCTAATCAGGTCTCATTTTGGACTCCGAAAAAATATTTTTAAAAAGAAAAAAAAACGTTCAATTTCACTCTATCAATCGTGATTTATTGACGATTAACGGCAGTCCGTTTTGCCCCACTCCCCTGTGAATATTCCGTCATTGAACAATCAGTTGATATATTAATAGGGGAATGTGGAGTAAGACAGTCGACCATCAATCATCAATTCTCCTGACCAGGCGATACGATTCCCATAAATCAGCTTTCATTTTGAAGTCCGAAAAAAAATCTTCAAAATGAAAAAAAAATCTTTCAATTTCACTCTGCCAGTCTCGGCTTATAAACGATTGAATACGCCCAATGAATTCCCATCATCCCTAATTAATTCTCAATCATCAATTCATCATTTGATGATTATTCAGGTGCCATACGAACTCCTGAACAAAAAATTCCGTTCAACCCAAAAAGTCCTGGACAGGGAGGTGTCCCACGTCCAGGCGACGGCCTCAGAGCTCGAGAAGAGCCTGACAACCGATAATGGAACGCCCGTCGAGACAGGCGAGATCACTCGCCTCCTGGGGGGCGTCGTAGCGAAGCTCCAAGTCCTCAAGCGAAAGGCTGAGGAGTCGATTTCCGAGGAGCACCAGGCCGGAATGGTCTGCAAGAGACGCCTGGATCACCTGAAGGAACACGCCAACACGACCCCCAGTGTCGTCAATCAGTGGAGGAGACAGAGGCTGGACAGAATGCTCGTGGAGTACTTCCTGAGGAAGGGCTACTACAAAACTGCTCAGAAGCTCGCTGACACCACTGAGCTCAGGGATCTCACGAATATCGATGTCTTCATGGTGTCGAGGGAGGTGGAGATATCACTGGCTAATCACGAGACCACGAGGTGTCTTGGGTGGTGCCACGATAACAGGTCTTTTTCATTTAATTTCATGAAAATGAATTTATTGAATTTTTAATTCAACGAAAATTCTGCGTAATTTGGTACTAAATATTCATGTTTTTATTTAAAATTATGTAGTACATATAAATGCAATTAATATGAAGAAAAATTTTTGAGAGCTTAAACAAATTTTCAAATGAAAGTGGAATGTAATTAATTAATTACATCCAGCATTCGTTTTTGATTGACTCATTCAGTCTTTATATTTTTTTATTAACACCTGCATTCAGATTTAATAATTGAATAAGAAATGATTAATTATTTTGAGGAGGTAGGAAATTATTCCCTGTGAAATAATTGACATTTATTTCCACACGATGACAGATCCAAGCTGAGAAAGCTGGGGAGCACCATGGAGTTCAATCTTCGAGTCCAGGAGTTTATCGAACTCGTCAGGGCCGATCGCAGGCTCGATGCTGTCAAACATGCTCGCAAGTATTTCGCTAATTACGATGACTATCAACTGCAGGAGATACAGAGCTGCATGGGGCAACTGGCATTCCCTGCTAATCCTTATTTCAGTCCTTATAAGGACCTGTTGGATGAGAAGAGGTGAACAACTGTCACGTCTCGTTATTTGTTTCGTTTATCAACTGAGGAAATGCTCAATCTTTTATTACATTATTTATTTATTTATTTATTTATTTTCTTATTGTCTTTCGTCTTATTTAATTCTTGTTGGTAGGTGGGACAGGCTTATCGAACAGTTTAGACACGAGAATTATAGGCTGTTTCAACTAGCTAGCCAGAGTGTTTTCACTGTTGCACTCCAGGCAGGATTGTCCGCTTTGAAAACACTCCAGTGCTACAGTGGACATAAGGAAGGAAAAAATGCCAGTTGTCCGGTTTGTCATGAGGCTTTGAATGAACTTGCTGCCCCTCTGCCCTTCGCACATTGCTCACAGTCTAGACTCGTTTGTAGTATCAGTGGTGAACCTTTGAATGAGTACAATCAACCCATGATGATGCCCAATGGATACGTTTATGGTGAAAAGGTATGACCATTCTATTCTTCATGTCTGTCACATGAAAAATGTTTGTTTCTATTTCGATCTTTTCTCGTTAAAAAATATAATCAATTATTAAATGAATAAAATGCAAGGAAATTCGACGAATTATTTTCAACAGTTGGATGAATCAATGGAAATAATTATTGATTAATGAAGTAAAGGAATGAATTGAATAAAAATGAATTATTGATCCATTCAGGCACTTCAGAAAATGGCCAAGGACAACAATGGTGCTGTGGTGTGTCCGAAAACCAAAGAAGTATTTCCATTCAAAAAAATCGAAAAGGTCTACGTTATGTAATGTAAAAATTCAACTATTTTCTATCCAACTTTCAGCGTTATCACCGCTTATTCTGATTAGGTTTTCCTTAGATTGTAAAACGTAATCAGACGCTTTTGTGTAATCAATGTTAAGGATAATTAAATGTGTAAGAAAGGCTAAATACATTATATATTTTCTAAAAACTGGAGTTTATTTCATGGTTTCACAATACAGGGTGATGATGTCAACGGGTTTATCATTTTTTCTTCTCGTTTATTAATCGCTCTAGGATTAGATACTATATACTTCAACAAGACTATCTCTATGACCTGTATGTGATTTTTTTTTCATCGAATTACACGATTATTCCTGTCATGTTGCTTATTTTACTTATTCAATGCTTCATTAGTCGTTAATATTAAATACTATAGGTTTTATATTCTTCTCAACGTTTGGACAAATGAGCGTTTTCAATTAAAAACAGTAATGTCCATTGGTAAAAGTCATGTATAAATTCGTAATAAAAAAATTAAAGTCTTACGTAATTTTTTAAAAATTACAATTCTATTGAAAACATTGTTTTACTGTAGTTCAATAGTCAATGTAAAATACATTGCAATGTTAATTGTGATATGCATGGGAAATGAACCTCTCGAAACTGAACGCGTTACCTCAAATGTTTTTATCAAATACAAAAATATCCCATCTATTCTATTCACCTCAGGATCAACGATTTTTTAAATTTTTTGTTTCATTCAATTCAGTAAAATCCCTTGAATTTATTGATTATTGTCGGCATTGCTTCATACGAGGATTGTCCACTTATTTATTCATATCATTCTAGCAATTCGGATAATGCGAAGACGAGTTTAAAGAGGTTTTTTCTTTATGTTTAATTAGTTTATCTAGTGAAAAGGAGAAATTCGTGAAGTTTAATATAGTTTTACTCGAATCTGTGGGTATGAGATTTACAATTGAGACGGAGGATTGCGATGACGTGAGAATATCAAACGATAAGATATTTTTTTTCATTTATTCACAGAGATATCGAGTGAATGTGCTAATGGTGTAAAAATAGAATAATCAGGATTGTAAAAACATTAACACATCGCAGAGCTTTTTGGTGAGACTCTCGCGTTAATTAGAGCAGTTTTTTGTACGTCAATGAATTTAACAGAGATCTGTTAGTAAAAGTATACAGTGAATACACAAAAATCCATTAAAAACATTATTACACTTGTGGATAATAAAATGAAAACTTCATTTAAACCACTTTATTAAACTGATTGAGTTAATCAATCAATAGCCTTTAGCCTTTTGCTCGTTAATATCTCGTTGCACACAAGTGCCCATAAAATCTAAATTAAATAAGACAAACGCACTGAAAAGTACGAACAATACATATAAAAAAGAACAACCTCAAGAGAAAAGGAGCTACAACAATCGGTGGTTTGAAGAAAACAAGTCTAGTCGTTTAAGTTAATAATTACAATTATCGTCAATTAGTCAATCAATCAACTCTTAATCACTAAATATATTCAATGTTTCTGCAACTATGAGAATGTGCTTCAATTCAAGCGGCTCTCACATTCAATTACTCATGTTTAACGTTTTTTTTGTGTATCATTTCCTCTGGTTTTTGTAAATTATTTAAGGCGGTTTGGTCCGATCTTACGTTGGAACGGGTGGGCATACCGCATGTAAAATGGCAAGCAGTTATTCACCCCATGCTCTGCCACTCGAAAAATACGGTATTCAAAGGCATAATTGGTAGGAAAAACATGGCGTATAATCACTACTGAGCAAAGCCGACGCAGACACACACACTTTTCAAATCATAACGATTTTTTTCCCTGAAGAATCATCCTCATTGAGAGCAAAATTACCTCTAAGAGAAATAATTTTAAAGAAAAATGTCAAAGAATTATTCTCGAGGTAATTCAATAATTACCAAGATGTCATGACTCGACTTCTTATTTCCAGAACTGGGCACTATTCGATTTCGATCAATTAAATAGCATTTATTTATTTGTTTTTTTGAAATTATCGTTTCTGTTAAAATTTGTTTTTATTAAAAAAAATATTTCGAATAAAATGAAGTGAATTTAGGAAAATTCGATGTATGATTTCAAATAGTGTTTTTCCCAGCTCTGCTCACTCGCCACTTTAATCATCTTATAATTCTGTAGTAACAAAAATAGAAAAAATCATCCAACAATGTATGTTTGCACGTGTGCATGTCCCACGAATAATAAATCCTCAATAGTAAAACAGATATCTCCCTTATTTTCTCTCTTCCGTGTCAAGTCTCAATGATTGCTATTAAAATTCTCAACGCGAGGGAAAAAATTCATGTTACCATACTATAAATATTTCTCGAGTTAACATTAATTATCCCAATAGACTCATTACCACGTGATATTATTAACGATGAACGGCATTACATTGGAAGACAGTACACCGAAGAAGATGCCTGTTATGAGGGCAGCAGCAGCGAACATACCTGCTGTCGAGGCATGCCGTGGATCAACCTCTCTAAAAGTTTAAAAATATCGATGAATAAATCAAGTTATTTTTTTCGTCTCTTGTGACGTAACGGGGAATTATTATGGACTTACGTGGGGCAATACATCATGCCGAGAGATGATAAGTAGCCACTGCTGAGGCCCATGGTAATACCAATGGCCAGGTAGACCCAGTCATTCTGTATCAGAACAGGTAAAGCTCTCACCGAGAAGTCCTCACCCACGTGGTAGTTGCAGAATAAAAATAGGGGGATGAATAATGCCCTGAGGACCACTGGGAAGATGAGGAATCTCTTGCTGGGCTGAAATGATAACAATCGAAATCATTAGAATAGATTACATTTGATAACATTACAAAAATGCCAATGGAAAAAATTTATTTCAATAAATAATGGTAAATTTATGTGAAATTACTTCTCGATTTTTAAATGTAAAATTTAATCATAATTTATTGAATTATTTGTCAAGGGTTTGAATTACTTTGGGAAATGTTTAAATTTTTTGAAACATACGAATTTAACGATTGGCGCCAACAAACTCCCGATCATAGCAGTCACATTGAACGTCAGGAAACACATGATGGGAGAGTACAGATCTTTGGGAACGATGAAGTCTGCATCACTCTTCTTGATGCCTGAATGTACCGCAGGGAAGAGAGCGAGTGTCACGAAGAATATAAAGAATATGTTGAATAGCTGCACCGAGCATTCACGAATAATCTTCAAATAAGGGGGCCTGTCCTTTCGGCTGGCATCTTTCTTCTTCTCTTTGTTCGCCAGGAGCTCGTGATAACGATAAAACCTCTGGAAATAGTGAGACAATTTGATAATCAACTCTTCCCCTTTGATCGTCGGAATTCTTCAATTGTGGGTGATAATGTGAGTGCTAAAGGCTAAAAGCTAGATTATTAGTAATTTATTGATGAATAGATTTGCTCAGGTTTTTCCACTCGATTGATATGTGAGTCTTTTTAATTTTTGTCTCACTTGGGAATTTTTTGTACTCACGTTGATTGGAAGAGCGAAATACGTGTCAAAACACGCCAGGATGATGAACAATGCAGCGATGAAATAGTATATTGCTGCTGTGCGTAGGTTCGGTGTTATCACTTGTGTGAGAATATTGATGACTGCTGTCAGCGTCCCACTGATATTCTGCAATTTTATTCTCATTTAGTACATCGATTCTTATCTCAACGAATCATGAAGATTATTTCCATTACCGAGCCGAGGACAATAGCCCCTGTATATTTCCCGGGTAATTTCGCCCCCAATCCGAAGACGGAGTTTTGATAAATTCCGTTTGCAGCTGGAAGTCAAGAGAAATGCATTATGCATGGTTTCTGGAATTCGCATTGTTTTTATGAGGTCATTGGAGAGGCATAACGCTTGATTGGGATAACCATTATAAGAATGAGTAATTGCGAGGAGAATATCGACAATTTTTTTCACATCGTGAAGTTTTATGCAAAAATCCTCAATATTTATGTTGACGTATTGTTTCATAAAAAAAGAGTTGATATTTTTTCGTTGACTCAAAATTTAAAATAATTACGGGAACCATTGTTATTCAGAAAAATGCAAGTGAATTATTTCTGGGATTTACTGAAAAGCTTGATTGAAATATTCATAATAAGAATGAGTTATTCTACGAGAAAAATATCAAAAAGAATTTTTTTACATTATGAAAACAAAAATTATTGAGGTAATTTAAAATTCACGTTGACTTATTCTTTAAAATAACAATAAAAATTATTTTCATCCAGAGAAATGCAATTGGATCATCATTTCGGGGATTTATATCATGAGGTAATTAAAGAGTCATGAAACTTGATTAGTGTTCATGAGAATGAATAACTTATGAGAAAACTATCAAAAAGAATTTTTTTGCATCATGACATTGAAAAAAAAATTATGGAGTGAATTAAATATTCCCGTTGACTTACTATTTAAAATAACAACAGAAACCATTGTCATCCAGAAAAATGCAATGGGAAATCCCGAAGTATCAGCCATAGCCATAATGAAAAAAGAGTTGATATTTTTTCGTTGACTCAAAATTTAAAATAATTGCGGGAACCATTGTTATTCAGAAAAATGCAAGTGAATTATTTCTGGGATTTACTGAAAAGCTTGATTGAAATATTCATAATAAGAATGAGTTATTCTACGAGAAAAATATCAAAAAGAATTTTTTTACATTATGAAAACAAAAATTATTGAGGTAATTTAAAATTCACGTTGACTTATTCTTTAAAATAACAATAAAAATTATTTTCATCCAGAGAAATGCAATTGGATCATCATTTCTGGGATTCATATCATGAGGTAATTAAAGAGTCATGAGACTTGATTAGAGTGTTCATGAGAATGAATAACTTATGAGAAAACTATCGAATTTTTTTGCATCATGACATTGAAAAAAAAAATTATGGAGTGAATTAAATATTCCCGTTGACTTACTATTTAAAATAACAACAGAAACCATTGTCATCCAGAAAAATGCAATGGGAAATCCCGAAGTATCAGCCATAGCCATAATGAAAAAAGAGTTGATATTTTTTCGTTGACTCAAAATTTAAAATAATTACGGGAACCATTGTTATTCAGAAAAATGCAAGTGAATTATTTCTGGGATTTACTGAAAAGCTTGATTGAAATATTCATAATAAGAATGAGTTATTCTACGAGAAAAATATCAAAAAGAATTTTTTTACATTATGAAAACAAAAATTATTGAGGTAATTTAAAATTCACGTTGACTTATTCTTTAAAATAACAATAAAAATTATTTTCATCCAGAGAAATGCAATTGGATCATCATTTCGGGGATTTATATCATGAGGTAATTAAAGAGTCATGAAACTTGATTAGTGTTCATGAGAATGAATAACTTATGAGAAAACTATCAAAAAGAATTTTTTTGCATCATGACATTGAAAAAAAAATTATGGAGTGAATTAAATATTCCCGTTGACTTACTATTTAAAATAACAACAGAAACCATTGTCATCCAGAAAAATGCAATGGGAAATCCCGAAGTATCAGCCATAGCCATAATGAAAAAAGAGTTGATATTTTTTCGTTGACTCAAAATTTAAAATAATTACGGGAACCATTGTTATTCAGAAAAATGCAAGTGAATTATTTCTGGGATTTACTGAAAAGCTTGATTGAAATATTCATAATAAGAATGAGTTATTCTACGAGAAAAATATCAAAAAGAATTTTTTTACATTATGAAAACAAAAATTATTGAGGTAATTTAAAATTCACGTTGACTTATTCTTTAAAATAACAATAAAAATTATTTTCATCCAGAGAAATGCAATTGGATCATCATTTCTGGGATTCATATCATGAGGTAATTAAAGAGTCATGAGACTTGATTAGAGTGTTCATGAGAATGAATAACTTATGAGAAAACTATCGAATTTTTTTGCATCATGACATTGAAAAAAAAAATTATGGAGTGAATTAAATATTCCCGTTGACTTACTATTTAAAATAACAACAGAAACCATTGTCATCCAGAAAAATGCAATGGGAAATCCCGAAGTATCAGCCATAGCCATAATGACCGTAAACACAAAAATGACAGCTTGAATGGTGAGTCCCCACACGATTCTCGTCGTCATACTTCCACTGAAAATATTAACATTAGAAAAGAGATGCTGAATGTCACGATATTTTATATCTTCATCTGACTGCACTGCGAGAGTATTCACCTGAGCGGAATGAATACGTTGACCCAATTGAATAATAAATTAGGTATTTGAGCAGCAAAACTGACGCTTCCCACGTACATGTTTCCATAGTAAGTAATGTTTGGATCTCCAGTGTAATTCGCCGAGAGTTTATACTTCTGGAAGTACTGTAATAACGTGCAAATCCCCCATTAGGCATTGCTGATGTCTTGAATTACGCAGATATGACGTGTAGAGCAAGCTACGTCAATTAATTGACACGTCGCCGGGAGTATCAAATGTATTAATTGTTATCTGAGTCACTTACCCCCTCGGCTGTGATAAACATGTTCCAAGGCATCAGCGCACCTATACCGTGCAGCAGCATTATGAAATACACGATGTTTAGTCTGGAAGGAATTGAGGAACATTTAATTTTTTCGATCCTCCATTTATCTCGAAAATGAATTTCGACTATTGGTGAGTTTTCAATAGATATCTCGGAATCTGAGGCAGATAGCAAAATTTTTATTATAACCATTTTTGTAGCTCTCAATTCTCTCTACAAAAAAGGTCAAACAAAAATTTCGCTACCTGCTGTACATTCGGAGATTTTTCTCGAGAACTCAAATGAGAGTCGACTTGGATCATTTTCATTCGCCACTGAAATGTCAAAGATCTTTCTTGTCGCTGAGGAAATTCCCTACAAAATTGTCTGTCAGTGATTCCTCCTAGAGCCAATCATTAACGAGATAATTCCATCATTATGCAAATTATGGGAAGACCGGTTTACTACTTCCCCGTTGACTGTAGTGAATTCATTAGGCTTTATCTGTGATCTTCGCAATTTAGTGCCACAGATCGAGCAGGTAAATCACGATTTATTGCAGCCGTTAGGTCACTCGTTTGACCGTGGCCTTCGAGGAAATTGAATCATTAGGGAAGTAGGGGAATGAACGTGAATCGATTAACCATTGGTGAAATTTTTTAAAGGACCTTTGTCATGGAGCTTAATGGGGTCTACGAAAAGGGCTCTAATGTGATGCTTGGTATCTCTCATGGAATTCTACATATTCATTAAAAATGAAGGCTCAACCGAAGTTGATTTAATCTCCTGTTATCACTTCCATTTGGAGATTAGTCTTTGATAAATATTTTGAAATTAAGAGAGAGTGAAATTCACGTGAGCGCATTTTTCTAGGAAAAGAGATTTTATTTGAAATCTACAGAAAAGGAATTTCTGGATTCATTTTGTTTTATCACTTCCATTTAACGATTAGAGTTTGATAAATACTTTGACATTGAAAAGAGTCATTATGAGGCTTTAATTACTTGCCATGAATTTCATGATAATAATGAATACGTGAGGCTGAATTGAAGTTAATTTACGCTATTTAAACAGCTGCATTTGACCATTATCCTTCAATAAATATTAAAAAATGGGAAAGGTCTAGTGCAATTTATCTCCAAAAAAATCTCTCATGTGAATTTCGTTATCTCCCATCAACGCCGAATCGGCACTGATTTATTCTGTTTTATCACTTTCATTTGGAGATTAATCTTCGATAAATGTCTGGGAACGTGAAAGAGATACAAAAAGTGTCGCAAGGAGCTTTTTCGTTACAGATTTAACTCTCTCCTAAAAAATGCCCTCGCGTCGATTTCCCGTCTCTGAGAAACTAAATTTAAATTAACTCAGTTTACTGTTTCACATCTGAAATCTCCCCCGCATCCTCCACTAATCCAACCAATTAAATTGTTCTCTCATACCTATCCCTGGGGGGATTAAGTTCAAGATCAGCCTGATCCATCGTCACACCCTTGAAATTGAGTTCGTCGTCGGGTCGTCCAGTGCCCTCCCAACCTGGTGATAGCCTGACAGGTTCAGAGCCTACCAAAAATATATTATAAAAATTCCTCGTTTCCCATCCAATCAGGGCTTCACTCACAGTGACTTATCAACGGGCATAAATGATCTCTTTGATAATTGAAGCCGCGATATCAAATAAGCAATGTTAACTCGATTAATCAACGGTAATGGATAATAGGAATTGATGGACCAATTCAAATCAATTTAATAATTCAATCCAGACGTTTATACTCCAACACTCTACGAACACTTGTTCGTTTATGAATTCGAGTTGACAGAAGGAATTTGAAAAGCTTTGATTTTATCTTTTCGGGGAGGGGCGAGTCATGAAAATTCCATTACATTCGTACTACAAATATCGTGTATCGTATTTTTGTTGATTTAGTGAATGAAGAGTACATAAGTAAGCAGAAATTTACCGAGATTTTTCCGTGACAGAAAAGTGCTATAAGTTTTAAGTTTGCATTTCTTATCGCCTGAAAAAAGCAGGAGTAACACTAAATTAAAAAATGAATAGTAGAAAATTGAGAGGAAAATCATTTGTTAGTTTCCAAGCTGGGAAAATTAGTGGTTAAAATATTCATGATTAATTTCTACGTTGAAGTTATTGAACATCACCAATAAAATAGTATTTTTGTAGTTTAATAATAACTCATCGACTTTTCTTGATTTTTTTTCAATCTTTACTTTTTTTTCATTTTATTGTTCGAAATATATTTCATCATCAAATTTGTCAATTAAATTACGTGAGAATTTTTTTTAAAAAACCGTGAATATTCAGCGTCATTAAAATTACATTTTGCACAGAATTATTATTTCTTTTAAAACTCATTTTTCATAAATAAATAATTTAAATTGCTTAAACTTTTGGAAACCTTATGTTTTAAGCGTGAAATAGATTTCTGGTAAAATTCTGAATAAGAATAAATTTATTACGATTTTGAGGAAATGATTTTTATAGTGAAAAAGTGATTATTTATAAATAATTTATAGAAAATGCTCGTAATTTTCAAAAATTGCACTTTTTAAATTATTCCATCAATCTTTAAACTTTCTAATTTTTTTGCAAAGTTTAAATAATAAAATCATTCATGTACAAAGCCAAAGTGCTTGGACATCCTTAAACGGTGAAATAGTGAAATAATTTAGTCAATACTATTTACTTCCATTTCACAAAGACAAATAAATAACCGCTACTTGACGATTCGAAATAATAAACTCGAAATGTCTATTTCAACAGTATTTCAATGTGATTATCATAAAATAGTCCCCAGTTCTGGTTAGTGTCATGGACTCGGGCCATTAAATTCTAGAATTTCCCGCAGATGATGGCTTAACGAACCTTTTGTCTCCCACCAATCCCTCAAGAGACAACAAAACAAAAATTTACAGAACAGTTGGATCACTGATCTTGGAGAAATGATAAGATAAAGGCACTGCAAATTACCGTTTGGCAGTTGACCGAGCGGAACAAGCGTTCAGTGATGGCTGGTCCACTGATTCAATGAAAATATTTTAAAAAACGGGATTCTGGTTTCGGGTGGGCACGAGAGGAAGACAGCATCATGCACCCGAGGGGATGAGCAGTGAATATAGAACACTGGTTAGTATAGCCAAAAATTCTTGGTAGCTGCCACGAGGTCTCTCTGGACCAGCGAATGGATGAGGGAAAAATAGAAGGAGAGACTCACCCTTTGTCACAATTCGTGCTGCATTGGGGTCCTTCAGGAGTGTTTGCTCCTCCGCACCCACGCCGAACTCTTGTTTTTTATACGTCCCCGCCATTTCTCGTGATCTTGTCCCTCCGCACTTTTTATTCAACCTTCCGAGAATGAAGCCACCGGATGTGAGTGAAAAATAATCCTCGGGTCAACGCATCGCGAGCAAAGGCGATTGCTATAACGAGAGGGAAATTTCATCAAATGCATCAAATTGTCACGCGGGAAGTCTCAGTGAATCGCACGTTTTTTTTACGCGAAGCGATGCTCGTCGAACTTTTTTTTCATCGGCTGCTATTTTTTTCGGTTGTAAATACGCTGTTTGCGGGATTTATTCGGGGCTGACGTGATGATTGGAATTTTAAACCGAGACAAACTGAGAACTAGCCACTAGGGGAGACGAGAGATTACCGCGAGACGAATCATTACTCCTACTTCTTTTCCGCCTTTCCTCGGCAGTTCTCAACACCCCACCAACTTGCCGAGGTTTTTAGGTTAAAAAAGAGGGATTGGCGCATTGTGCGCACTCAGATAAACCACTCCATGCGGTAGTTTTCATGACGAAGTACTGACGGAGCGAGGCGAGACTTCACGACGGCATTTTGGGGGACTTGACGGGGGTTTCAACGGCATTTGCACGTGGGTTGGGGCGGAATGGGGTGGATTATTATTTGTTGTCAATAATGATGCGGATGTTCACTGCATTCGAGGATTTTTGAATTTAGGGATTACGTAGCGAAGCGGTAAAACGGTTTACGTCAATTTTGAGTAATTTTGATCCCCAGTTTTCGAGAAATATCTCGAAATCTAAGGGAAGTAGCACAATTTTTGTTATGACCTTTTCTATAGGGCGCGTTGAGGGCTGCAAAAAAGGTCATTATGAAAATTCCGTTATCTCCCGCAGATTTGGAGATATTCCAAGTCGACTAAAATTGAATCAAAACATTAGGTTTTAATATGAGGAAAACTTGTTATTGTTGATTAATTGTTGGAATTATCGCCGATCGTTGTGAATAAAAAATATTTTTTAATTTAATGCTACAGAATTGTATTTTAAAAATTTTTAACATAAGTTAATTTTTATCCAGTTTTAAAGTTGAGTCTATTTACTTCACTTCGCTCCGCCTTTAGATTTCACCGAAACCCTCTGAATCTGTTGGAGATAGCAGAAATGACAAGAGGACCTTTTTTGTAGCTCTCATCGCGCCCAATAAAAAAGGTTCTTTACAAAATTTCACTATCTCTCTTACTTTCCCAGATATTCACGAAAAACTGATGACTCTTCATGCCTCCACTCGCAACTTTTTGAAATGAAAATTCCCACGACTTTCTTCACCAAAAAATTTTGAAAATTCCCGTACAAAAAAATCTCACGCTTTCTCACACATCCCACACTTCAACTTCACCCCTCAGATTCAAAAAAATCCTCAGAACCTCCCCCCAATCCCCTCCAAACGGGAATATAATTCTCCAAAAGGGCGCAAAAAAAACCCACTTCGTTCCGACGAATCGCGTCGTCTCCCGCCGTTCCACATCCACACGACACACACCTCCACCGATATAATGGTGTACGTGGGTGACGCTAGTGCCAATATGGCGGCGTAACAAATAGTTGTCTTGTCTTTTTGGCAAGCTCGACAATCAATTCAATTGTTCGTTAATGTGAATTAATTATTGGATCGGTTACCTAGAATCCAAAGCACCGCATCACACTCTCGATATATCACGAAACAACAAACGTCTTCATTGTGTACGTGGAGCCGTGTTTCGACGCAAATATGGGGGGGAATTGAGAATTCCAGTGCGTCACAGTTCGCCGAAAATTTCACTTTCATTCTTGAGGGATAATATTTTTTTAATCAACATAATACGGTAATATGAGTGCTACTCCCTGCTTTTTGACCACGATTATTCGTCGGATGAAGATTTGGGGAATATCTGGGTGATTATTTATCCATTGCTCGGCGTTTTGGGACGATTGCACCGATAATGTCAAGTGTGCCGAATAAAATGCGAGGTAAGTACCATGGTTAACCTTTATTTCAACCTGAAATACCCGATAATTTGACAAAAATTAATATTCAAGTGCTGCAATAAAATGAATCTCGTTTTACAAAATATCTCGTCATGTTTAACAGATAGTGAAATCTTTAGGAAGTTTTTTTCTCCTAAAAAAGTGTAATCTACAAAAATGATCTCTTTGAAACGTAAATAATTCTCTCTTTGAAACACGATTAATTGTTTTTGGATAATCCAAACCATCTTCAATCGTCAATATCTCCGTAATAAATGATGCGATTTGGATGAATCAGGGCTCATTTCCAAGCTTGAAAAAATATCTTGCAACTGAGAAAAAATCGAGGAATTCGACTCTGCCGTTCTCCAGATATTGCCATTTGCAGAAAGTCTGTTTCACTTCAGTCGCTCCCAGCGTTTGTTGTATATGTCGAAAATAATAGGAGTAATTAAAACTACAATGACTTAATCTCCTCCCCAAGGTCCAGGACGCCCACCAAAGTCCAAAAACGCCTGCACCTGGTGCAACGAGACGAAGCAGCCCCTGAAGTACGTCCTACCCACTCAGCATGGCAAGAAAGAGTTCTGTTCAGAGACGTGTCTCTCAGAATTTCGTAAAGCGTACGTTCGTGGGGCTTGTGTCCAGTGTGATAACGTCATCAGGGGTTCTCCAGTGAAACTGGAGCAGAAGGATGGTCCCACCAAGGACTTCTGCTCGTCCTTCTGTCTGAATAAACACCAGAAGAAGGAGATCCAGGCAGACACCAAGAAGAGTACGTTTTCCCCTGCAAAAAGAGGCAAAAACACGACCCCGAGACCTAAACAATGATTTTCATTTTAGACACGAGTGACCAGCCCTCCCCAGCAGCATCCCCAGCCCCCTCAGGCATCCCCAGCAGCAGTGGAATGATGCCCCAGTCATTCCCAACGAATAACAAATCCAATGGGACTGGGAATAGTCAGCCAAATGCCTCACCCTCGACCTCCAGTGGTCCCTTTCAATACGAGACTTATCAAACCTTCGACTGGGAGCTGTACCTCAAGGAGACTGACAGCACAGCAGCACCAGCTGAGTGTTTCAAGCAGCATGCAACCCCTCCCAGCAATGAATTCAAGATGGGAATGAAATTGGAGGCTCTAGACCCTAGAAATCTGACTTCAACGTGCATTGCATCTGTCGTTGGGGTGCTTGGACCTCGTCTCAGACTTCGGTTAGATGGATCTGATAATAAAAACGACTTCTGGAGGCTTGTGGACAGCAACGAGATCCATCCCATTGGGCACTGTGAGAAATCAGGGGGCATGCTGCAGCCACCCCTGGGGTTTCGAATGAACGCCTCCATGTGGCCCATGTTCTTATTGAAGACGTTGAATGGCGCTGAGATGGCACCTGCCAAGGTCTTCAAAAGAGAACCCAAAACCCCTAGGACGAATTCGTTTGAAGTGGGACAGAAGCTTGAAGCCATTGACAAGAAGAATCCACAGCTCATCTGCACAGCCACCATCGGAGGCGTCAGAGATGACATGATTCACATCACTTTTGATGGCTGGAGAGGGGCCTTTGACTACTGGTGTCGATACGACTCCAGGGATATTTTTCCAGCTGGATGGTGCTTCAAGAGTGGACATCCACTTCAACCACCCAGGCAGAAAGGTAAGGAACATGTGGATTTTTGGCCCTCAGATGTGGGAGAGACTGGTTTTAATGTTTGTTGAACATTTAGCAACTGGTCCCAATCGATTCAAATCGAGGACGAGTAATGTTTTACCAGTCATGGCTGTCTCGGGCAGTGGAGCTGGTGGAGAACCAGCTGTTGCTCTTGTCAGCCCAGCAGGATCCAGTGCACCACCACAGCCTGCTACGGAACCTGATACAAGTACTGCTAATAACAAACCACGAACACTTGACAATGGTAGATCATTAATCTGTTTCAGTGTGAAAATCAATTTGCATGATATTTTTTCTTTATTAATAATGAAAATGATCAGATAGTCATTTTTTCATCTGAAAATAACGACGATAAATTGAAAAATGAAACACATGTTCAATATTTTACATTTCATTTACATTTGATGATTTTCGTAATGAAGGAAATTCATGCAAAAATCGAAGTAACGAGCGTTTCAATTGTTCTTTCGTCCTCAACAGTTACAGTTTATGTTAATCACAACTGCTCGTGTGGTCCCTACTTCGACCCTAAGAAGGTGAAGGCCCTCCCATCGCACTTCGGTCCTGGATCCATCCCCAGTGTCATCAGGGAGGTGTTCCAGGCATTTCTCATGGCTGCAATGAGCCCCAGGCAGATGCTGAGTCTTTTGAAACGTGGAGAGGGCGAGTGGATAAGTCTGACGTTGGAGAGTAAACTCACCTCAGTGAGGGTCCCAGTTTTTCTCGAAGAAGAGGACTTTTATATTTACGTCAGGCGACAGCTGGAGGACCTCTGTGCATGCGAGAGGATGGTTTACAGGAGGCAGGAGACCTGTGACAAGTGTCCCAGTGTGCAGAATATCTCGTTGGATAGGGAGGATGGGAGCCCTGGGGGCGAGAAGAGAAGGTGGTCCTCTGAGAATCCTCAGGTGCAGATGAATCAGGAGCAGAAGAGTCAAGGACCTCCGGCGACTAACATTGAGACCATGATTGCAGCACCCAGTGCTGCGAAACAACCGAGGAAATCAGTGCCTGGTGGGTTTGCAGATGATTTTGAAGACATTTCGATAATTTTAGTAAAAGAATTTTTAGGTGATGGGTTTGAAGAGGATTTGCAAGACATTTTGTTGATTTTTTTAAAGGAGTTTTTGGCTGATGAGCTTTTATTTTCTTAGAACTTGAACCTGCAACGTCGACGACTCAACCAGAGGCTGCATCCAGCAGAATAACATCGACAGAACCTGCAGAGTGGACCATTGAAGAGGTCATTCATTACATTGCCATCACAGATCCAGCATTAGGGGTGCATGCAGATCTATTCAGAAAACATGTAAGTTTTAATTTAATATTTTACGTTTTATTACTAAATTCATCTGTTTTAATTCTACAATGAAGGATCTCGATCAGTTAAATTTAATTAACTAAAGGTTTTCGGAGGGGGGAGGGGGGGGGGAGTTTTACTCAATTAAACTTGATAAAAAAAATTATCCTCAGGAAATTGATGGGAAAGCTCTACTCCTCCTCAACTCCGACATGATGATGAAGTATATGGGACTGAAGCTCGGACCAGCACTGAAGATTTGTAACTTAGTAAACCGTATAAAAGGCAGGAAACACGTCATGCTATGACTGCTACAAACGTCCAAATAAGATAAAAGAAAGATTCTATTCAGGTTTATTCTCACTACAATTTTCCTTTCATCTATTTTTGAAAGTCTTTTTAGAGGAAATCCATGCATCCCGGGATAAGTTGTCAATTCCGAATTACAGAATGAAGAATTTTTTATAAATATTTGTTTAACGTTCTATCAGCATTTACGATGATATTCGATTTTATTTACGAGAGAGGTTTTTCTTCCTAGGTGAAACGTTAGGAATCCATTATGATAAATATGTACAGTAAATGTGTATTGTAAGTATAAATCAATTACCATAACTATTTAATAATTCAAAACAATGAAGATACTATTGTGGAAATGGTAGTTGCCCTAGTATTTCCCCTCCAGAATTATTATTGTTACTGTAATGGTACGAAATTGGGGAATTCAGTGATGATTAATCGGGGTAATCAGGTTCCATATCGCGTAAAATTTTATCACACTGTAAATTTCACGTAATTCTTGAGGAATATTTTGCTAATCTTATCGGTCTCTCTGGCACATTGCTTCTGCAATTGTGTACATTCTGTCACATCCGATGGCCTATTTTTTATTTCTCATTATTCGAGAGAGGGGAATGTCAATGGAAAGAGAAGATGTACATAATTAAGTGATAATACCCATGTAATAGGTCATTATAAGTATTAGCAATAAATTTAGTTTCAAGGATGATAGAAGTACGGTTTTGTGATAGTTTTACTCAGAGAATTTAGGAGTTGCATTATTTTATGAATTTTTATCGTCTCCTTTTTTTCTGCGGAGAATTGTCTTCTACATTTTTTTTTCCTCTTCAAGTCTGGGATTCAATTGCGAAATGAGAATAATGTGATGTAAACCTTTTTGTTGTGACTAGGGATTTGCACAAGATTTTTTTGTGGATTTGTTTTTACCTGTACCAAAGTCAGCCAGTAATTCAAGCTTTTTCTCTCACTTAATTCTCGAAGAAATGTACATATAATTTTTTTCTTTATACTATCAGAATAGTTTTTTGCTTGAATTTTTTTTATAGTTTATACCCCAAAATTTGTTGAATTTGTATCCTTCCTATTAACATGGAGTTTGTTTCTTTGTTTGATAAACATGTTAAGTCGACTCGAGAAGAAAATACGAGTGAAGTACATGCGAAAAATGTATGTTAATATGTCCCATGATTGTGTGGGGGACTATTGATCATGAAAACTGAAAGATTAATATTCATTGAAGGCGAGAAAACGAAATAAAACGAAAAATCCTTGAAAAGTAATGATTTTATTCATAATTTTCCAATGTTAATTCTGTTTCCAATCATAATTGAGTGCAACAAACAGGTATAAACACCACAATTGTGATATAATACGGTGTAGTTGCCGAAAAAAGGTGCTTGACAGGTCCACTCAATGACGTACAATGTACAAATTACGATAAGAATTTTCTTAAAAATTCCTCATTCATATTATTAACTTGCATTATCAATTAAATTATACGTATATAATTATTTAAATATTCCGATCACAATGGGATTTAGTTCATTCATATTTCGGGTATGAGGGGGCATAAAGTACCTGCATCTTCCCCAAAACTTTCGTTATTTCTCGTTAACGATGCAGGTACTTTCTGCTTCGTTCTGTTTTCTTTTAATTAATGAAAAATTGAGAAATAAAATGATGTGAGCATTACAAACGTACTTTATGTTATAAACTAGATTATTCCAAATCAAGAAATTGTGATGGCTAAGAAGTGATAAAAATTGCATCCTCATCACATCCTGCACACATATTTTTTTTTTTTTCATTTCAATCGTTCAACAAGAAATATTATCCTTAATTCTACGTGATTTTATACTGTAACATTATGTTCTTGTTCTGTTCTGTTCTTATTGCAAAAGGAAACAAAAAATTATCTTCAACTGCTGGTGCAGAGTGGATATAAACAAGAGTCTCAATGTTGAAGACACAATATATTCATAATATAAATACAGCTAGTACTTAAAAATCATTTGCGCCCGCCTGATGTATATGGTAAATATCAAAAAATCTCCTGTCATGGTTATTTCCTTTATCTCCCACCTGAATCATTTCAATTTAGGGTTTTGTTTAGTTTATATTTTGAAAAATTTAGCCGAAGAGCCTAAAGTTTCACAGATCCTCAAATTTTTAATGCGAGTAGCACCCAAGTCATTTCAATCGTTCATTATATCTCCAGAACCGACAATTCTCATTCTCCACTTGTTTTTTTCTTTCTCTTATCGGGGCTGAGAGAAATAAATATACTGTGATAACATCGATAAATCTCCGGTTTCAGTGAATATTTGGGAGTTAATGAATACGATTAATGACTCTGAAAGACTCCTCTTTGAAAAAACACGGGGAAAAAATGTTATTATTGCGAATGGGAAAATGAGTCTACGTATTTCTTATTTTTCCTGGCACATAGTTCTTGTCTATCATTGGTTCTTGCAGGAACATGTGTAAACATCGTTCGTTTTGGGCTAGTGGATGTCCAGCAATTCTGCAACAAGACGATTAAATCCATCACATAATTATAAAAAGGTTTAATTCTATTTTAACTATTTGTCAGTTTTCTACGGGAGATGGCAACATTTTTGTCAAGACCTTTTTTGTGGCCCTCAAGTCCCTCTACAAAAAAGGTTAATACGAAAATTTCGTTATCTCCCGTAGATTCGGAGATTTCGCTAAAAATTACACCTGAAGTCAATTTTCAGAGTGAATTTCACCAATTTCTATTTTTTTAAAAAATAAATAATTCTAAAAACAAATCAATAAAATATATCTCAATCAAAATTTTGCCATCTCTAAATTCACAGATTTTAATGTCCAAATAATTCATTTTATTTCAATTAAATGAATAAAACTCACTTATTAACGAATATCTCCAGTCCCTTTCTCCGATCCTCGATGAAATCGTCTTCGAAAATGCCATCGTCACCCCTGAAAGGCATCTGTCGTTTCCAGGCTTTGCTGGGTAGAGGAGGCACCACAATCTGTCAAACCCCAAACAAATAATTCTTGATTCACCAATTCCATCATCGAAATAATCATTAAGGACGATTGAACGTGGCTATACCTTACTGTCCCGTTCCAACTCGTTCCTCAGCCACTCGAAATCACTGTACCTTCTCCTGACACTCGACTCCTTCACCTTGAACACCGGCAGATTAGTCTGAAACAATTCCCAACTCTAGTTATTCCCCCGAAGCCGTAGGAACCCATACAAGGACATTCTCCGTCATCTTTGTATACGTCAATAATAATCCGAGGGGGCATGACATATTCATCAACAGAACTGAAATAGTATTTCAAACAGATATTTTGAGTTGACTATTTCGATTGATCAAATGTGATTTATTTATTTGTCTTTCTGAAATTGAAAATGAATATTGACTAATTTATTTCACGATTTCACTATTTAAATCTACATGAAATAGGTGAAAGCAAATAAACACATTACGTGAAAAATTCATGCTTGTCATATGATAATTATTTTGTTTGTTCTAATTTTGTCTCATTAAAAAATATATTTCGAGTAATAAAATGCCAGAAAATGGATAAAATTCAATTAACTACTTCAAATACAACTGCAAATTGTATTTTTCCCAGCTCTATACATTAAAAAATCATTAAACACCTCAATCAAACTCCTTCCCCAAAAAAAATCGTTTGACCTCAAGAATTCAGTGTAAATAATTAGAATTCAGAGTCGATGAGACGATCAACATTTCATACAAATAAATTCCACCCAGGGTGGGGTAAAAGGGGGCAGATGTCATGATTCATGGCTCCAATGGTCAGGCATTGAATAAAAATCACCGGACAATGATAAAATGACGTGTGCCAGTGCGAATTAACCCAACTTTTTCGCTCGGGGAGTCGCGACTCCAAGTGCATCACGAGACAGCGGATGTTCGTAACGATGATTTAATTGCATGCACCGACTTACCCTCATGCGAACCTCGTAGTCGGTGTACCGTTTTTTGCCGACACCGTGAGTGATCGGATTGATCACGTCAATCTCGAGGAAATTCGCTGGTGCAGCGTATGCATCGTCCAACGTCTGTTTCTTGACATTCAAACGTCTTGTTGCGTCCACCGTTGTATCTGCCATTATTCACTAATTATTATTGGCGATGCTAATGACAAATTTAACACTCTCGGCTTGTGTGACAATGCACGGGGAATATCCACCTACTCGCGTACGAAACACGAGATAACGACTTTATAATGATAACAATGCTGGAGGAGTTGTGTCTCTTCGATACTTCGGCCTGACTTTTCTCTCTCACCGACTGTCACAGACGCAGCCCGTCTGACAATCGGTGGAATTTACTAGTTTCGCGGTGTCGACGGACGCCGTGTGGCGCTGCCAGAGCTGGGAGAATTACTATTCGAAATACTCGTGGCTAATTACTATTTTAGAGTTATTCAACGTCACAAATGACAAATTATTTGGTGAAGAAAAATAGAATTTAACATAATTCATGGGATTTTCGCGCATTCTTTTCACTTCATTGTTCAAAGTATTCATTTTAACGAGAAGAAATTAGAACTGAAACAAAATAATTTATGTATGTAATTAAATATTTAGATTTTGCGTGTATAAGTGAATAAATAAGTAATGAAATAAGTTAATCAATGCTATTTCATTCTTAAATCGATTTGATATTTTTGTTACGCGTTTTATCGCATCTCTTGAAAATATTCAAATTATAATGAAATTGTGAATATTTATCAAAGTTTATTCAATCGACTCAATTCTTAAAAATAGTACAATATCAGTACGAGTAATTATTCACAGATCTTGGGCCCATCAGCTCGTTGTCTCCTCAGATGTATCGGCCTCACCAGTCTTCCCCCCCTTTTTCTTGGACTTCTTCTTCTCCTTCGGAGATTTCTCTTGCGCAGGCTTCGGCGGATTCCCCTTCCCCTTCGGAGGATTTTTTCCCTGCTTCGAGTAGACTTTTTTGTCAGGGTGGAACATGGCTGGCATTCGACCGAAACACTCGTGCATCGGGAGAGGAACGACCTTGTCGATCAGTGGCCAGGGGGGGTTGGGGATTGTTTGGAATTGATCGTCACAATAGAGTGCTTGCAGGTCAATGGTGTTTTTTCTGTTGACAATTTGAAATTTAATGAATTTCCTTGGATTTTTCTCATTTTATCATTTGCACATTTTTTTAACGAAAAAAAAAATAGAACAGAAACAATTAAAAATAAGAGATAATAATTTTTCAAATTATTAAACACATAACAAACATAATAATTATCATATGACAAGCATGACTTTTTCAGTAAAATAAATTTGTCAATTCTATTTAATTTCTCGTTTCGTTAGAATTGAATATCTAATGAATTTCCTTGGATTTTTCTCATTTTATCATTTGCACATTTTTTTAACGAAAAAGAAATAGAACAGAAACAATTAAAAATAAGAGATAATAATTTTTCAAATTATTATACACATAACAAACATAATAATTATCATATGACAGGCATGACTTTTTCAGTAAAATAAATTAGTCAATTCTATTTAATTTCTCGTTTCGTTAGAATTGAATATCTAACAACTATTTTATTTCAATTTCAGATAGACAAATAAATAATTTGAAGTATCTACTTGAGATAGTATTTCCATTTGATTTTCATAAAAGAGTTCATGAAACATTGGAATTCCTGAATTAAACTCACCCAGAGGCTTCTGTTTCTTTATAAATACTAGCAAATGCTCCATTCCTCGCGGTATGTCTGATCAAATAGCGTCCCGGTGCCATTTTCACCATGTTCTCAGCCACATTGTACATGAACTGGAGGCAGTCTTCCCCCTTCACGTTATACAGCCTCTTCATCTCGTTGTTCACTGACATCGCAGTCCTGCGTTCGTACTGTATAATCTCCTTGTTCCACGAGTGTATTCTCACTCGAAGAAGAGCTGTGTCAGGCCTGAATGTGAGTGCTGCCCACTGTCTTGAGGCTTCCTCAAGGGTGACAGCTTCAGCCCCGAGACCCAACTGGTGCTCCATCTTCGGAGCTATCATCATGCACTGGATTTGATTCTTCGATAATTTCTCAACTCCATCAGTCTTGGTTCTCACCAGGATTTTATAATCCCTCTCCACCTTGTTCTTCATCATTTCGTTTTGAGGCAGTCCACAGGCTCCAATCGTGAAAATATTGTACGAGAAATTGACCCCCTTGGCTGATAGATCATTTGATAAATTGTCCATCTGGGGATGGTCCGTCTCCATCGCCTCCTCCGAAGGAATTTCAGTCTCTTCTTTCTTTCTCTTCTCCTGCTGATCCAGTCGGACTGATGTATTGTGCCCCGGGTGCAGGATTAAACTCTTCAGGATGGCCTTGCAGACCCAGGCATTCTTCTGCAAGACGCTCTTCGCCAGTGGGGGCAGGGGTTTATCAATAAAAATGACTCTTCTGTCGTTTATTGTCTTGACGGTCACTGGTAGGGCCCATGAGTTCTTGTAAGAGGGGTCCAGATTGTTGGCGAGACAGTTAATCCCAGAGGAGGAGATCACCAGGTCTATCTCGTTGGACTCCACGAACCTCTGGCAGTTTACGTCTTCACTGATCAGATTCTTCTTAACCCAGGCCTCGGGGAAATTGAAGTAGTTTCTCTCCATTTTTATTGAATTAAATGGCAGGTAGGTCGGACGAATCAGAGGTGGTATGATCATGCGTGGAATTTTTCCCTGGAAATTATCATTTTTTTACGTTTCATATTTCGTCACTCGAATTACAATTCATCGATTTTTTTTCGTTTTAGATCTTCAGTTCACCGGAAATTAATTATTCATTAATATTAATTATAATTTTTTTTAATTCATGATGAGAAGAAAAGAATGACAATCGAAGATAATAAATGGGAAAAATAATCCCCAGAGTATAAAATATAAAAATATAAAAATGTAAATGTTCAGGATTTATACATTTGATGTGATATTTTACCGTTTCAAGAGCAACTGCATTGAAGCACACGTTGATGTCTTTATTACAGATGAAAGGAATTGTTCCACTCTCGGTGCAATACCTGGGTAATTGCTCGACGTACTTCATCTTGTACTTCCATTTACGATTTATCAAATCCTCTCGGATTAGCTGTATCTCAGAGCTGTCCCAGTGGTCCTTCGCCACCTTCAGGAACTCGGTTTGTTCCTCGGAGATGGTGGTCTGAAGCCTCTGAAAATTAAAGAACTCTTGTAGATAATTTCGTTAATTTATTTGAACTCTTCATTAAATTGTCCATTTTTATGTATTTTATTAAGATAATTGTATTTTTTTTTCGTATTTAAACCGCTTTGAGATCTTCTCAAAATAATTAATGATTTTAAAAATCTGAAAAAATCACTTTATCATTAAATTTACTTTAATTCTTTATATCTTTGTTTATAAACAGACAAATGTATCAAATTTTCAGGGAATGTGGATGATTTAAAGAGTTTACCAAAACAATTACCGTATAAGTATCCAAATCTTCTCTATTGATCTTCGAAATATCGGGTTTCCCAGGGGCTGAGAACTGCAGGAGGACCCTCACACAAGCTGCATGCTGCTTCTCAGTCAACGAAGACCACCTGGGAAACTTGGCCTTCGCCCTGGAGATCCCAGGGTAATACTTGGCGTGTTTCTTCACCTCTTCCACAATATTTTTTTCACTCTCCTCCTTCGGACTCTCCTCGTTAATCACCAGTTTTTTCCTCTCCTTCTCCTGCTCATTCGCGTCGATATCCGCCTTGCTGACTAAATCCAGGAAATCCTCGTGAATGTCAGCGAATGGATCCGTGAAATTTCCCCGGAGAATTTTGTACATCGCACTCTCCCTCTCTAACCTCTCGCCATTGATGAACTCGTCGTCGATAATGTCGTTTATCGAGGGATTCCTTGAATTATTTATTGATTGTTGAGTTAACAATTTGCATTAATTGATTATTAAATCGGTTTGGGAAATTACCAGTCGATACTCTTGAAGATGTCCATTGTGAAGCCACTGACATTTGTCTGTCGTCGATTGTTGACGTTTACTCCAAACTATTTTGGAGCACCACGTGTTCCCCCAACGGTCACTTCAGGAACAAGTTTTTTTTTTTTAACGCTCGCGTAATTATTTAATTATCTTGGTAATGACTGCATCTAGCAGAAATAATTGAATATTTTTTAGAGAGAATTTTATCAGCTACAAAAAATTTTTTGTCACTTTTCTCTCGTTAACTACTAGTTTTCGAAATAATCTCGAAATCGCTGAAGATGATTTTTATCATTACGAGTCACTAATTGCCAAAACTCGTCAATGACCAATTTTTGAAAAAACATTGAACATGTTTCATGGCCTGCAAAATTGATTTCATGCATTTTTCTTCTGAAATGAAGATATTCTCCTTTTAATGACGTCTTCATGACTACGGAATTGAGTGATTAATGAATTAACGAGTGATTTTATCAAAAATCATCAAAAGACATTTTCTGCGGAGAATTTCATAATCTTCAAAAAAGTTTTTTCCAAGTTTTCCTCTAAAACCGCTCACATCAGAGACAAACGCACTCTCTTCCGAAGAAAGCGGCGGATTCTTCAGAAAAGTAAACATTTTTCCAATACTCCTGTTATGCTCATCGCACCGCCAGCGTCAAGGCAACGAGCGGAGCGACACGCACCCCTAACCCCGCACGACAAAACAGAGACGGAGCATAATAAAACGTCACACAAAAATGTTAAACCCCTGGGATCGTTCAAACAAACTTTTAATCGATATTACAAACTAGAAAGTATGACAGGCGTTTTAGTGACGGTCAAGTGGCAGTAGTTACCTTCACCGAGAATAATGAGCAATCACTCGAGTGGCCTGAAGAAAAAACCAGTGACGAGGGATAAATCCCAAGTGCGGCATGCGCCCCGGGTGTCCTCCAAGGACAGCAAGCAGGATGTGGAGCCCAAGAAAAATGCTCTCGTCAAAAAACCCTCGACGAAGAGCGTGGCTAGGCAGTCCTCAGGGGATCGTGTTCCTGGCAGAATCACCTCGACGTCGTCCAGGCCCCTGTTACCAACGAAATCCCCTCAGGACCTCACATCATCATCATTATCATCGCCATCAACGAAGGTACTGAAGAAACAGAGCAGTGACCCTGAGAAACGCGGGGTCAGTTCCATCTACATGCCCCGAAAATCCTCCACGAGACCCCCGCCCGAGGGGAAAAAACCGAGTCAAGACCCGAAAACCAGAGACAGTCACACTCGACAGAGACTGCCGTCGAAGGAGCGAAGAAAATCGCGAACCCTGTCCCCCAGTGAAGTCAAAGTCCTCAACAAGAAGTACCTGAAGCCCGAGTCCTCCCCGGAGTACGAGTACGAGGACGACTTCGAGGATTACGAGTCCGATTTCCAAGAGTGCACGGAAACAGATGGGTCAGAGGTCAGCGACGAGTCTCACAGGAGCGAAGAGCCCGACCTGGAGCCAGTGGAGCTGAAGAGCAAAGAGCCTGTTAAATCGTTGAAGTTAAAGGAGTCTCGGGATCATGAGGAGCACATGCTGGACTCGGGGCACTACGAGCTCGAGGAGGCGAGGAGGAGGGCCGCCAGGATTGACCTGATGTCCGCGAGATCCCATCGGACTCCAGGGGAGAGCCACAGGCCAGTTTTCAGTGAGGAGAAGCCTTCGGAAATCAAGAGCTTGCCTTCCTCTGCTGATGAGGGCTTCGAGGACGGGCGTTCTGGGGATTTCGCCAAGTCACCGCCCCTTCCTGGAGGCCACGAGGTCATCAATCTGAGGGACATCTCCAGGAAGTTCAGCGAGAAACCGAAGAGAATGTCGAGGGGAAGAAAACTCCTGCAGATGATCAAACTGGATACTGTCGAGTGGTCCATCTTCGAGGCGACACCCATCGCTTACGAAGAGTTCATCACTATTCATGGGAAAATTAACACCAGGCAGATAGCTACACAGACTCGTGAGGATGACTTGAGCGTGGAAACCCAGACTGAGGAGATTAAACACAGGAACATGTGGACGCAGTTCCCCGTCGTCTGCAGGAGTGATTTGAGGAGCAATGAGGATATTGATGGGTTTAACAGGGAGTTGATTGGGGTGGGCTCTGACGAGGACGAGCACCAGCTGAGGAGACCAGGCTACGATATTCTGAAGCTGAATGAGTTCCTGGGGGCTGCTGGGAGGGTGATGCTGGCACTTCTGGAGGAGAAGATCGTCAGGAGGAGCGAGCCGCAGGGGGACGAGGGCCAGGAGATGCCCTTCAGTGAAAGCAGCATCACATTGGCCGTCTCCACAGTGACTTTTCTCAGTGGAAGACCTGTGGCCATGGTCAGATACTCGGATGTTAGCAGTAGAGTTCTGCTGAGCATTCATGCACCTGCGGACGACGACGTCCAGGACATTGAGACGTCGGAGGATGAGGGGTTCTACATGACTGACTGCTGCGTCGGTTGCTTGTGGAATATTTACGAGCCCTCCAGGCCCACCAAGCTCTTTTACTCCGGGAGCAACGTCACGGCTGTCTGCATGCATCCTGTTAACTATAATGTTGTTTTTGCGGGGCTGGAGGACGGCTCTGTCAGCCTGTGGGACCTGGAGGAGGACGAGGCTTATCATCCCAAGTTCGTTGATAAGGATAATGAGGCTGAGTGGGTGCTGAGGTCTCCCACGTTCTCCACCATTGGGGTTTTTGGTGATGATGGTGATGATGGCGGTGGGGGAATGGCCAAAGTTGTGGCGCTGAAGGTGCTCTCGAAAATTGAGACTGATGGCAGTGATAATTCCGGGAAGTTCATGCCTATTCAGGTACTTTTTTCAGTTTTGGAGAATTATTCTATTTATTCACATTTATTTCCTCGTTTCCTTTTTATCTTTTTCATGCAGAAAAATTAATTGAAGGAATTTAAAATTGTTTTCTGATTTTTAGTTTAAAAAAATCCCTCGAATGGTTTTTTTATTTCAGATTTGCAGTCTGGATGAAGCTGGAAATTGCACAATCTGGAGTGTTCTCAGGAACCTAGACACCGGAACATCCCTGACAACTCAACAACTCGGGCAATCCTGGTGGGGAAAAATTAGACTAGTGAAAAGTCATAAAATTTCCCTCTCCATGGAGAAGAACAGTGATAACGTAAATGATAGTTGCATGACTGCCTTCAGAGATCTCAGTGTAGATACCATTGATACTAACAATTTGTACATTGCGAGTAACACGAGTAAAGTATTGCATGCCACGAGGACTGGGAAGACACTGAAACCATCTGTTTACGATGGAAATTTCATGGGTAATGGGAGTCAATCATCATCTTATTAAAAATAATCATCAATTGGTTGATAATCATTCGTTAATCTTTTTTGCAGACTATTCGGGGACAACTTGCATTGAGTCCTGTCCCTTTGGCCAACCCTATTTCCTCGTGGGCTTTTCTGATGGCACTTTACGTCTCTACTCATCCATGATTGAGAGGCCTCTCGTACAACTGAAGAATTCTAAAAGCACTGCCCCGATTAAAGTCATCCAGTGGTCGAGATCAAAGCCATTTACTATTTACGTTTTGGATGATACATCAAAGTGAGATACAAATATTGCCAGAGCTAGGCAAAGTAAAAAATACTATTTGAAATATTCGTGACTAATTAAGGATATCCAAGTACCTTTTACAGTTCGGTTCAGACCACACTATAAATTCAACCATTTTCAATCATCAAATTTGTCAATTAAATTGCGTGAGAAAAATTTGAAAAAAATGATGAATATTCGGCATCATTAAAATTACATTTTGCCCAGAATTATTATTAGTCAATACAATTTCATTTTTCAATTCTAGAAAGCTGAATAACTTAATTTTTTCGAAATAGTCAACTTAAATATCTATTTCAAACAGTATTTCTACTTGATTTTCATGAAATAGTGCCCAGTTTTGATTGAAAAAAAATAATTTCTACTTTTATCGTTATTTTATTGCAGCATTCACATCTGGGATCTCAGCAGAAGCGATATATTCCCCCTGTACAGTATATCACCTAAAAAACACGCCCACATAGGGAGCATGCAGCTATCTCCCTGTAAAAATGACTATGACATGATGAATCAGTACATGGTGAGTGGAACTGAATAAAATTCTGCATAAAAAAATGTAAAATTTGTATTTTTATTCAAATTAATATTAATATTATCACCTTCAGGCGCTGGGATTGGACAACGGCACCCTTGAGATTCACAGATTCAACAAAGGATTCCACTACTCTAACAACGCAGATCGAACTGCTGATTTGAATACATTTTTATATTACGTAGCGGTTTACTAAGTATAAGGCACTCTAGTCCGACCAAATCCGTCCTGAGATATTCATTTTCTAGTTTTTCTTATAACGATATAGAAGTATTTTGGCACGTTCCGAGTTATTGGCAAGAGAGTATTTACAGATTAGTTGTAATATCAGTTATTGTACAAATACAGCTAAATTTATAAGATAGTCTTCTTTGTTTTGAGCTCAATTTCCACATTTCCTCAGTTGTCTAATGAGTGCTGAGTAAAAATCATTTCTAAAAGGTAAATATTATACAATAAAAAATAGGGAGCCCTTGTTCACGTATCTCACAGTCATGGAATCATCTCAATAAAAAATCGCGGCATTCAGTAAAACGGTAACAATCAAGGAAATTAAAATACTATCATACGACTTTGTAGAGCTAGCGCCGCAGACGAGGGGATCACTCCTGATCCTGATCAGTTGCTCCAGACTCTCACTGTAAGGTCGAGGTAGTTGTACGTGACTTATATTCTGCAGCAGGTTCACAGTCAGTTCCTAAAAAAAACAGTTGAACATTCACCTCATGACCCCCACAATTAATTATTCAAATTATGTGTGATTATTGCCAGTGGATTGGCAACGTAGCTCATGAAGAACTCGAAATTCCAAAAAACAAAAACAGAGACTCGAAAACAGGAAAACAAATCACAGCGAGGAAACCATCGCCAATAATCATAGTTCATGGATTTCCCAACCATGTCAGGGACCCCAACCCCTCAATTCCAGAGTTGATGAAAAAATCAGCTACTGAGGGATATAAAATGCTAATCGAGGGCGGAGGCGCTGTTGATGTCGTCGAGTCTACGATTTCACTATTGGAGGAGGGAAATGCGTACTCCAGGGGTGCACTGATTAAATGTTCTCTCTTGGCTGACGATCAGGGGAGGACAGGTTGTGTGATAGGAGCAAATGACAGCTCCACAATTTCAGGGGCTAGAAAACTGGTGGAGGGAAGTCCACAGCCATTGATAGTCCAGGAGAAAATGATTGGAAAGAAAGCGGAGAAAAATAATTACAAGGAAAATAGAGATGAAGTCTCTGGATGCTGGGGGGTAATCGTCAGAGATGAGAACGGGAGGATCAGCTGCGGGCGCATCAGCTGGGAATTCAACGAGGATTTCCCTCCATCGATCCCTGCAGCTGCAACAATTTATGGCTGCGGAATTTTCATGAAGGAAAATACATGTTTTTCCATGTCTGGAGACGACGAATTGATCTACACTAGAGTCCCAGCTCGACGGATGTTTCGAGGGATGAAAACTACTGATAAGCACTTGACTTCAAAACGACAGATCACGAAACTGTTGTCTGATTTCGAGGATGATAAAATTGGGGTGGTTTTCCTGGGAACTTTCGACAGGGCTGTGATATTCTGCAGGAGTCAGTCCTTCCCCTGGGTCTACTGCAGCAGGAATATGATGAATTATGGGGGGTCTGCGGGGGAAATGCACTCGGAGGATGTTCCTTTCGATGGGGAACCTATTTGCACATGCCACTGGAGGTAGGAGTGAACTTACTGGGAAGATGACGTTGTGGTGGGTCTCGTAGGGCTCGTAGAGGCTGATAGCTGGGGTTGGCTCTGGATGTCGCACCCCGAACCAAGTGTTCATCTCTTCTAGGATTGATATTATCTCTCTGCGACGTACTTGAGGTAGATTTTCATTCACCATTACCTAGAAATTGCAAAATACATTATGTAATAAAATGTAATGTAATGTAAAAAAAAATTGAAATTAAAATTCGAATTAAAATTTTAATTCATCATTAAAATGTTATCATTAAAATGAGATAGTTAAAAAAAATCCTTCAGCTACTCGTAATTACCGATCCTAAACTACTCCAGGTGAGAATGCAATCAGGGTCAAAGACATCTTCGACACAGATCCTGCGCACATCTGGGTGAGACTTGAATTCTTCGCGAAGGGAGACAAATGCAACATCTCCACGATCTGATAGCAAACATTGAAAAGTCTTGACGATTAGCTTCTCCTCGTCGGCGTCGGCTTCAGGAACGACGATTAAGTCGAAAAAAGTGGAGATGGCTTTTTCGTCTGAACAACACCAGGACCGATCATTCGTGTGATTGCTCATGAAACTGACAAATGCATTCCATGCTACACTTCTGTATTTAGTGAAGCAAGCCCTGGCTCCTCTGAGATCCTCGATTTTTTTGTATCTTGAGTTTTTCTTCACTAGTATCGCGATATTGTTGAAGTGCTTGAGGTAGGAACTCGTCAATTGGAGGATGGCTGTCAAATTTTTCCTGCAATTTCAAGAATAAATAATAAATAATCCCCTAAAAAAATTTTAAGATGAAGACTGACGATTTGAAATACTATTTGAAATAGGGGAGCATGGGGCAAAATGAAACAGTGGGAAAATCTCGTCATCTAAAGGAGATAGGACATTTTTGAAGAGGACCTTTTTTGTAGCTTGTAAAATTCTCTACAAAAAAGGTTTCCATGAAAATCCTCCTATATCCCTTAGATCACAAGATTTTCTTGCTGTTTCATTTTGCCCCGTGTTTCATTTTGCCCCATCGTCCCCTAATTACTCAAAATTTTTTCAATTTTCGTTATGTTACTATTCGAAGTATTTTTTTCATAAACAACAAAATGTCATTTCATAGCAATTAATTCAAATAGTGAAATTAATTAGTCAATACTATTTAATTTTCACTCCATTAGAACGAAAGATAAATTTTCATGAAATAGTTCCCAGCTCTGGCAATTTTATAGCAAAAAGTTGTCATTTGTCATAAAAATTATCAGTCAGCCATCGAAATTGATGACATCATTGGACGAAAAATGAGGTGGGTGAGTGCATACTTTCTCGCAATCATGAACTCCTCAGGCTGAGCAATATAAAAATCACAGAAGCCCTGCGCGACCCCCTCGATGGAGGCATTTCGACCAGCCTGCTGAAGACAACTGATTTCGGGTTCCAACCCATATGAGAGAGCAGCACGACGAAGCCAATGGCATTTTCTGTCCTCGAGGTTCGAGGAGAGACACCACCTGATTATTCTGGAAGGGTAACACGTCGATCCGGCGTAGGCACTGCTCAGCCCAGTGAATCCATTGAGGTAGTCTTCGGGGGTCTTGAAGGGGTCTATTTTGACAGTTGCGACCTTGTGCCCCTCTATCAGCAAGAGAAGAAGTACCTGCCAGGGGGCGTTCAAATGTGCAAGCCCATCGATTACTCTAGCCACTCTCTCAACCAAATCACTGTTGAAAATTTAATTAAGATTTGTCTGTCACAAGCAATTTATTCATTTCACAAAATGATGAAGTTAAATTTTGATGAAAAATGCTGTGCAGAGTCATCAATTATTTTCTATTGAATGAAATTACGATGCTCATGAGATTAGTTTGGCTAATTGGACTGAATGAAATTTTTACCTTCTTGCACCAATAACTGGCCAAGGCCTTGAGATCCAGGTGCACGGTAAATCACCCGAGAAATCTAAACTTCTCACGATCCCATCAGGGCACATAAATTTGTAGTTTGACGTGTTAATCATCTCCATCTTTCACAATTGAGAATTTTTTTCATTTAAATGTTTTATTTTATCGTAAAAGGCTTAATTTTGCTGGCTGAAACAATCATCAGGAAACACTAACTCTGATTTACCTTGAAGTATTCCTTAGCGTCCTCCAGCCGTACCCAAGCGACGTCACCGTCACCCTCGGTTAGGCACATTACGGCACCCATGCGTCCACTGTACTTGTCATTGATGTCACAAGCACCATTATTACAAATTGCACACATGTTGATGTATTTTGACTCTAAGTGTGAAAAAGTTTATCCATTTTTTATATTATCGTGAGGAAAGTTTTAGTTTTTTCATTGTTTTCTCAGACAGAAATTTCATGCAATTTCTCAAGTTTCCAGTTATGGTTCGAATTGCGTGCAATTTTTAGAATTTTTTTTGGTGGATTTTTACACTCACTCAGGTGTCTCTCGACTTCCTTATCCGGGGAGAAGTTCCAGGGACCAGGGAAGCAGGCAGCCTTGAACCATTCGGATAATGCAGCGAATCTGTTCTCCAGAAGGGAAGAGGAATCCTCGCATTTCTTAGGGATTATTTGGTTCTGCAGATACTGGGGGAATAATGAAGTTGTTAATTTTGTTAATGTTGGATGGGTTTTTATTTTATTTTACTGTTTTACATTCTCCATAATTCTTTTCGATAATTTAAATTTTCATTCATCTATTTTTTTTCAGAAATATAATTCAATTTAACAAAATAATTTGAAACTATGACTGAAATTTAACAAAATAATATGAAAATATGTGCAAAATGAAAATTCTGAAGTATGTGACCAGTTTATTCGCAAAAACATCTATAATTTTGTATCAATTTCATTTTAAAGCTCAAATTCATTAAAATTGTTTTCAATCGTGTTATCAACAGAGGACTTACCTCTGCAAAAAGCGGGGTCCAATCGTAATCCATGATGTCGTATCCAGGATGACAGAATCTCTTGCCGTGGAGATCAGTAAGGCTCCTTATTTTATCGGTGACCAAAACGACCATTTCATAATAGGATGCCTCTGTAAATGAATCAAGATTCTTCTGAATTTGCATTTTCTGTTTGATTGCTCGGAATTGAGAAGAAGTGTTATACCCTCTGGGAAGAGTCTAAATTCGTGGGTGACGAGAATATGCCCATCGTTGATGCTTTGTGCGACGAAAAGATCCTGCGGCTGAAAAACAGCGAAGTCCGCTCTGCCATTGACTATTGCTCTCAGACATTCAATTCTGAAGGGAAAATTCATTGAGGAGTTCAGGGGTTTAACAAAATTTAAATTTTATTGATTGAACATTTTTTTAGCTCTTGAAATTCCGCACAGAAAAGATCCCTTGGAGAATTATAACAATAAAAATTTCTATTCCTATAAAATTTCTTGCGACAAACGGACGTTAACTTTGAATTTTAAGAATGTTTATTCAAAATCGCAAGCCCTTGAAAGAAATTCATTTTTTTCATTACTGATAAACAGAGTTATCTCCTTCTCGTTGATCAATATTCCAATCCACTAACCCGAATTTACTGTTCAGAAATAAAATGGACAACAGCCACCGAATGACATTGTCCTCTATTATTGTTTTCATTTCTGGAGTCTTCCAAGACGAAAATTTCGATTTGAAGAAAATGTACAAGCATCATTAAATTTCTCACTCATTTTGTTCTCACAAATTCATCGTAAATTGATCACGAGAACAATCTCCTCCACCCGAATCACCGAATAATTACCTATCACTAGCAATAACACACTCAAAGCCATCATTCCTAAAATCTCCACAATTTGCCTCGACGACTCTAGCCCTCTGTGCAGTGCTCACGACGCAAAGTTTCACTGGAACAAAAGCCAACAATTAAAATAAAAGACAACAGCTCATTCTCCAACAAGTGTCAGCAGAGTGAAATAAAAGCGTTACATTTCTTTGCGGATTCTGTCAGCGTAGCCAGAGCGATCACCCAGATCATCAACAGGTACAGGCGTGAAGTAGCAGAGCCAAGATACATTTTAAATTCTCTCTGTTTAACCTCGCCAGATGCCAGAATCTCCGGACAAAATATCATCCGCCCCACAGCCCAGAGATTCACTCAGCAACTGAACTGATAATTACGGAACTACCATGAAGGAATAATTGTTACGACAACGATGACATCACCTCGTGAATAACTTATATTTACCGACTACATCTGCGGAATTGGTGGGAATAGCATGGTACATACAAATGCGAACTATCTCGTGTTGTTTTGGTGAAGGGTGGGTGACCTTGCAGATTACCGGGAAGGGGCATAAACAGGAAAGTGGGAGAAACTCTTGGGGTAAAATATTGTCACAGAAGTATTACCCGCACTGAGGAAAATATAATTCTGCCAATGAAATTTGTTTCAAACAAATCCCATTCATAATCATGATGTTATATTTTGGTGTTCCATCAGGAGATTTTTATATCTCAGGGAAATAATATTCAATTCATTTATTTCTCTGATGTTACAAAAGTTCTTTGCTTTACATCTTCACCACTCTTTCACCTCCCATCTTCTTTTAAATAGGGGAGAGAGGGGTAAAATGGACACTTTAGACTTTTGTTTTAATTACTCATAACTGAGACACAAATTCATCAATTGAGTCCAGTCTAGGCTCATCACAAAGGGGAAGAATTGTTCTTCGCAATGAAAAAAAAATTCCTAAATTTTATCAACATTTCATCCGTCATGTCACGGCCGTCTATAATCACTCGCTTCTCTCCCCCTGTGATATCTATACAGTAACACTCGGGGAAAAAATAAATTGCTTTTAATCTAATCTAATCGAATTTGCATACAAAATTTCGGTACAACTTCTTGTCTGCAACAACTTCATCAGCAGAATTATTCAATTCAATTCATTATTTCCTCGATGTTGCAATAGTTTTCTCTTCGTCTCACATCAGTACCAGCCTTTCTCTCTCCCCTCGGCCTAACAGATGCACCTATGAACATAAATGTATCAGTTCAAGTATACCGCGTTGGACTTTGATAGATTCCGTTAATTTATTCGCTGAATTATATTTTTTACTGGGAAGCATGTGGCGCATCTGGCCAGATTGTCGGTGCAAAGGTTCATGCGTCTCTCCCTCGTCCCAACAGGTTTATTCTTTGAATATTGCGTTCTCATCGCAGAATAATCTTTTCAAGCGCCTCAATTGAGTTTACTAAAGATTTCCTGTTCAAACGCCTTCACGTTATTCATTTAAATAGACTCGATCATATGAACATAAACAAAATATTCGTAAATGTCAACTCTGTGGTTTTTAAATATTTAAATCACACGAAAGCTTATGTAAACACAGGCGTGAGGACTCGTTTACTCCCGGCCCCTCAGTTATTTTTTATTTTCACACTTTTCTCGCGTCTAGATATGTTATTTTGACATTGCGGCCGCCTCCGGACGTTCGATCGTAATTGCCGAGGTGATTAGATGGAGAATCCGGTGTAATGAACGTTATCAGTCAGAAAATAGTCAACGCCGTTGTTTTTGAATTCTCGGCACACGCGTGGACAGTTCACAGCTGTAGCGACGCTCTCGTGGACGGGCCGCGGGGTGAAGTGCGTGGAGTCTGCGCTGTTTCTCCGCAAGTGTCAAGTGGTACTGAGAATTATCAAACCGAGATTTATCGTGTTGGACGCACGTGAGGCGATGGATCCAGTGCTATCGTGACATGGGAGAGGAGTTTTGGGGGTTGCAAGAGTGCCATGGACGTTTGACAGCAGCAGGCGAGTCCTCAGGGTCATTTTTTACCGGAGTTTTTGGGTTATTGAAGAGTCGGTGGAGTTTTAATTGTTGGGGAGATGACGAGAGTGAAAATAAATGGGCAACAGTTGCCCATAAAGGCTCATTATTTCTTCTTCATGGCAGGTAGGAAGATTCGACACGAATTAACCGTCGATTGGGTTTTTGTCAATGATTTCGGATTTTCAGCGATGGGTCCTATTCTGCCGTTCCTTCCTGTTTACGGGAAACAGCTTGGAGTGTCGTCAGTGGCTATGGGGACGATCACGGCTGTCCTGCCGTTTCTCTATCTCCTGTCGAAACCGGTGTTTGGGTTCCTCGTGGATTATTTCCGCAACTGGAGGAAGAGCATCTTCATCGGCATTCTGATCGGGTGCTCTCTGTCCTTTGTGTTGTTGTATTGTTTACCGAGAATACCGGAGTTGCCTAAGGATGCTGAGCACAATGAAAATTTCACGAGGGGACTTGTCTGTGGGAATATTGAACCCTGCGGAGATCAGGTATTTTCACGGGTTTTTACTCACTTTGGGAAAATTCATTGGTTTGAAAATGCCTTTAGAGAGGAATTTGTAATCATTTATGGAGTGATATTTTTGTAGAGAACTTGGAGGGGCGGAAGACAGCACGACAATTAATCGAGAGATCTTTTTTGTAGCCCTTCGAGTTTTTTTATTAAAAATGTCGTGAAATGTTAGCTGCTGACAACGTAGAATATTTGCTCTTAAATTGTTTTTAATTATCCAATGTCGGATATCGTATTCTGGTCGTTTTTTCAAGCTAACATGGCCACTTAAAACCTAATAAATAACCCAATTCCTCAGATAAGATACCATTATCAAAGCCGAAACTACATATTTATTCAAGAATACCTCGATGAATGCTCAATGCTTCGTCAATGTCAACCTTTGGATTTAATTTTAGAAAAATGACACATGCTCCAAGAATCATAAATCTCAAATCATTTGCTCACACGTGTGCAACACGACGATTCAACGGTTCTACGTGACCATGAAATTGGCTGACCTTGATGGAAAGCACTTGGCACCGCAGTGTGTGATTGCTGATGAGTCTGATTCGAGGGAAATTGATCCCTCGATCTGCACCCCTAGCCCAGAATGCAGCATCAAATGTCCGATCAGGCATGATGACATGGAGATTGATAACTCTTGTCTTCTCAGGAGCTACAGCTTTTGGGTTTTTGTGCTTCTGTTTTCCCTTGGGAGCATCGGGTTCAACGTCAGCAATTCTATCAGTGATGCCATATGCTTCGATGTTCTTGGTATGATTCAATTGTCTTCAGAAAATTAACAATGATTCGGATGTTTAGGGAAGACTGGGGCAATATGGACGCGTTTCCCTATTGATGAATTTATTTCTGAGTTATGAACATTGAAAAAGAAACCAAAATGTCCACTTTGTCCACTGTTAAAAAGTGAAGGAAGTAAAAAACGTTGAAATTTTTAATGACTAATTCACATGAAATTTCAGCAGTTGTTGTTATTGTCAAATCAATTAATTTTCCGAGTCTTCATAGGAGAATAAAAATTCCCAAAAATTGTTAATATTAAAGGAACTGTTGTTTTACGTTCCCAATCCATTACAAATTCCATTGAACATCTTCATTTTGTTGCATTTCGAATCAGAGTTAATATAAAAAATTCACCCTTGAAATTGACATGCAGCTGTTGTTTTATTTCTAAAAAATCTGACAATATCGTCGCTTGATGTACAGATGAAAAACTCCAGATGATATTGCGATTGTGTAATGAAATTAGGGGAAGGTGGACACATGGGATACGGGAGGCAACGAGTCTGGGGGACAATTGGCTTTGGAATAGCAGCATTGATCTCTGGTGGAGCCATTGACTTAGCATCCAAGGGCCACATTGTCAAGTCTTACACACCAGCTTTTTTACTGGTCGTCATATTCACGATTCTGGATGTTTTTTGCTGCAAGAAACTAGAGGTTTGTTCATTCATTTCTTCATTGAACTAAAAATAGAGGAAATATCTACTCATCCCCTTCAATTTTCAGCTACCAATAATCACGAGCTCCAAAAACATCGCCAAAGACGTCCTGAAGCTCCTGAAAACCCAAGTAATCTCGATATTCCTCATCTTCGCAACAATAGCCGGAATTCTTGACAGCTTCATCATCTACTTTTTATTCTGGTACCTGGAAGATCTTGCCATCCAGACAAATCACATGGACCAGATTAAATTGATCGAAGGGTTGATCGTAGCAGCTGAGACACTCGGTGGTGAAGTGGTGTTCTTCTCCCTCTCTGGAAAAATCCTGAAGAAATTCGGCTACGGGCACAGCCTGACATTTTGCTTCATCTGCTACGGCCTCCGTTTGGGCCTAATATCCCTGGTGTCGAATCCCTGGTGGGTAATTCCCATTGAACTTCTCATGCAGGGGCCAACTTATGCGCTTTGTTACACGATTATCGTGGGATTTGCCAGTGTTGTTGCACCTCCGGGGACTTCGGCTACTGTTCAGGGGATTGTCGCTGGGATGGATGATGGACTTGGTAAATTACTCATTCTTTATTGTTTCAACGATTCTTTCTTCTAAAATGTCGAATTTACGCGGAATACATTTATTTCTTTGAATTTGTTATTTTATGGTTTAATAATTCAATCTGATAGAATCAATTTCGGCAGTTAGTGATCCCATTTATCCACTTCTTTTCTCTTTTAGGGTTCGCAGTGGGTAGTTTATTAGGTGGAATTTTGTACAAAAAAATTGGAGGACCAGCGACACTGCAGGTATTTGCCACGCTGGCTGGAATAACTGCTGTGACTTACTTCATCATATACTGGACGATATTGAAGGAGAAAATGCCAAAGACGAGGAGACAAGACAGAAACAATGAAGCGAGCAGTAGAGACGAGATTGCATGGAGCAGTCCTGAGGCTGCAGCCCTGAAATGTCAAACCTTTGACGCTTAATTATTATGATCACATTCTCACGATGCCATATTTTGTTGAATATATTATCAACTGATATTTTTATATTAACGACTATTTTATAGCAAGAGTTTATCAATCAAGATTTGAGTTATCCTGTCCCATTTGTACAATAATATTCTCCTGATGACAAGTACGAAAAATTCTATTAGTTTTTGTCTCATTCTGTTGAAAAATTCCACAGCTCATCTGCACGTTTTTTTTCAATAGAATTTTTTAATTTCCTGATTTTTTTAATGCTTTGGAGGCGCAACGCAGGGCCAGTCGCAGGGCGCCTCAAGATGACAGAAGAGTGTTCGTTGGATGCTCTCCCAACCGAACTACTTCTTCACATATTCGATTGTTGTAATGTTTACGACCTCATCAGATTATCATTAGTTTGCAAAAGGTTTTATTCTATTATTGGGGACGACACCTTGTGGATTAGGGAGAGCCGTAGGCCCATTGTCACTAATCAGTGCTCCAAAAGGTTTCGGGACAGGTATGTGTCATTCTATAAGGTTATGTCACAAGTTTATAAAGGAAAAGGTGAGGTCAATGGACATTCTTTGATCATCAATATCTCCTGGAGGAATAATACAATTTGAATGAATCAAGTCTCACTTTGAGCCCCGGAAAAATGCCTTCAAAATGAAGAGGATAATTGTTCAATTTCACTTTACAAATCTCTAAATATTCATGATTAAAAACGCTTCAGATCCTCTTCTCTCCGAACTCAATTCTTTATTTGGTTTTCGATAAATATTTCGGAATTGAAGGGAGATGGTGAAATTTTTGTAAAGACATTTTTTATAGAGAAAAATTGAAGCTACAAAAAAGATTTCAATGAAAATTTCGGTACCGCCCTTTATTTCCGAGATAATCAAGAAAAACTCGAGTCTAATTTTTCAAATGAATATCTTTTCGTTTTTTTATCTTTTTAATAATTAAAAAAATCATTGTTTTATATTTTTTAGATGCAATCCATTGTTATCGTTGAGGAAGAAGTGGCAGGTGTCGCACAATTGGCAGTGCGGAAAGTACGACAGGGTGATAATTCATACAGATCGAGTGAATTCAATCCCCTGGATACGCTTAACAGAAAATGTATTGTGGTGGAGCGGAGGGAATCGTCTGCATGGGTACCATCGAGGTCGAATTAAGACGAATAGACGGTTCCAGGATTCTAGGAAGAGTTGTCTCTTTGCCTGGGATAACATCCTCAGTGATATCTGCAAATTCGTGGTCAGAGACGAATATGTTGTCAGTGGGCACAGGTGAGCTGTTACTCAAATCAATCTCTAATTAATATTTTTCAAACTACTACGTTCTTCATAAAGATGTTCCATTCAATTTTTTTTCTATTTTTTTCTTCGACAATTATTGTTGAATGATTTTTTGCAGAGATGGAAGAATTTGGTTTTGGCTGAAGAACGAAGGGCAAGAGGGTCATTTTGATTTCGGAATCGTTGAAGCTCATGCATCCAGTGTCAACGCCATCGACGAAATCCCAGAGGCTGTGATTTCTGGAGCTGCTGATGGCACTGTTAAGGTGATAAATAAATTCACAGTTTAATTCATTTTTTACACAAATCAATTCCTAGGAAAACTAGCTTTAAAGGCTTAAAATAAAAAATGAATAAAAATAAACGTCGAGAAGATAAATATGTGGTTCAATATGGATCACTTTGACACACAGATATGGCCGCAAACCTCAGAGATCTACGACATCAGACCCATATCGACGTTGAATGTGTGCGATAGGATTTGGTCCCTGGGAGTTGACCCAGGGAGAACTACATTTGCTGTAGGGTCCTCAGGGACTAGCACTGGACCACCCCTCCGATTATTCGATATTGAATGGTAGAATCAACACTCTAACAACGAAAATCCAAACATGAGTGCATGATTTCCATTTCATATTGTTGAATATTTCACTTGAACTTCGAATAAATCAGTTGTAGAGAAAGAAGCCAAGTGAGCCACAGCTGGAGGCATGGCGCAGGTATTCTGGACCTCGCCTGGGAGAGCTCACACTCCCTACTTTCCTGTGGATATGACACGTACATACGAAAGTGGGATTTGAGGTACGTAAACACGAAAATAACAAGATCATGAAGTAGTTGGACATTAAAACAAAATGAATAAATTACCCTTGAGGACGTGTGATTTAAGAGGGGCTTTTTTACATCTCCCAATTATTTATTCCAAAAAAACCCTCACGAAATTTTCTCATTTTTTTTGAGATACAAAAATGATGATTAATTTTCAGAACTATTCATTCAGTTCTTCATTCTTGATTCATTCTACGTAGTTAATAAACAATAATAATTAATGATAAATACGAATTTTGAATAATTGGTACAGTAAGATAAACTCTGAGAATTTCAAATAATTAGTGAAACAAGACGAATAATTTTTACTAGGGTTTAAGTTTTTTTGTCCAAAAGTTATATCTAAATTTTCGTACAATTATTTTACATCTCTCAATTCTCGATATAACAAAAAACTATCCAATTAAATACTCTCGTCTCATCACTTCATTATTAATTTACGTTTTTATTAATTAAAAAATGATAATTATTTTTTAGAACTGGAACATGTGTTGCCTCCTGGGCAGATCCTACCGATGCAACGATATACTGCATAGCCTCGGATTTTAAACACACAATGATCACAGGAACCCAATACAATGGGAAAGCTGTTCTCTGGGACCAGCGACTGCCTCATTACGTTCAACTTTACTTCATGAATTCCCGACGGACCTCGAGTCCCGTCTACAGCATATCATTCGACAGCACTCACTTAGTCGGCGCGACAGACAGACAATTAGTAGAATTCACATTTTCTGGGGCCAATAATCGCTCCAGAGATTATCGCGAAATCCTCAAATGATTTTAAAAAGGCTGGGGGATAATTAAAGTATCATTAAAAATACATTTTAAATAGTTTAAACTGTACACTCTTCATCTCTTAGCCATTAAATGACCATTCGTGTACAAAACAGTAAAATTTCCCATGAAACAATAAAACTCTCATTTTCTTTCGAAATTGATGAAAATGCATTAAAACCCTAGATTAAATATAACAATGAATGTTTCGATAAACGATAGAGGAACTTGCGACATTGGCAGAACGAGGTGATTCAACTCGAAGGTCAAACACCTTGCTGACTACTCTTTTATTTTCGTTCTCTTTTTCCTCACACGTGCTATATTGTTTAAACTCTCGATTCATCGAAATTTTTTAATTACGGAATTGTTTTCAGAATGAATGATTGTAAGCATGTCATGAGACTTTTTTGGGCCCAAGTTTGTTTTCTAAAAAAATGTTCTATTGACATTTTGCTCTGAAGCCCCCAATTATCGAGACAATTTGCGAATTAATAAAAATATTTCATTAATTCGCAACGTAAAATAAAATAGTATTGACTAATTTATTTTACTATTTCACTACTTAAGTCTACATGAAATAGTTAAAAGCCAATAATACGTCGTGTGGTAATTAGCTTGTTGTTTCTCGTTGATAAAAGATGTTCCCAACAATAAAATTTTAAAAACTCAAAAAATTCGATGAATGATTTGAAATAGTAGTTTGCCCACCTCTGCCCACATAAAAAATTCTCCTCCATTACCTATGCTTAATTTCGGAATTAATAAAAACGTTTCACCCAACAACTTGGCAAATTTCTCCTTCGCCCTCTAGAAAAGTAAAAAACAAACAATATTATCGTGTCATCGAGAATAACGAATTTCCCCTCAAATCATCGATCGAATCATGTAATTAAGAATGCCGCCGTGTTTGAAATAAGTCAAATCCACTTCAGTGTCGAAACGTACAATGACATCGAAATTTTTTCCCGCGTCAGTGCGCACAGTTATTTTCTGATGTGGTTGACAATTCTGTGGAATGTCGATGTCAAATAATTCAAAACCAGTGAGGCCAAGTGTCTCAGCCGTTTGACCTGGTAAATATTGCAATGGAACAATGCCCATCCCAACTAAATTTGACCTGTGAATGCGCTCGTAGGACTCGGCGATTATTGCACGAATTCCGAGAAGATAGGGTCCTTTTGCCGCCCAATCCCGGGAGGAGCCTGAGCCATATTCCTTGCCGACCAGCGCTATTAGGGGGGTTTTATCCCTCCCGTATTTCTCGGCAGCATCGTAAATATCCATCTGTTTGAAAATCCATGGTCAATGGAAAATTTTTACATTTTTCAAGGGTCACGAGGGGCATTTTACCTCTTCGTTGGTGGGAATGTAGAGGGTCCTTGCGCCTGGTTTGCCGACGAATTTATTCACTAGACGAATGTTTGCGAATGTTCCACGCATCATTACGGCGTCATTGCCACGACGTGCGCCATAGGAATTGAATTCTTTTGGTGTGAGGCTGGGATAAAAAATTAATCGATAAATTCACAATTATTGAATTTCACGTACGATGAAACTCTGCCTCTCTTTGTGATAATTACCCCCTTGAAGCTAAATATCTCGCGGCAGGTGAATTGCGAGCGATACTTCCAGCTGGACTGATGTGATCAGTTGTCACAGAGTCTCCAAGATTTAAAAGTACCCTTGCACCTCGTATCGCTTTGATCTCAGGCAATTGCTGGAATTTTAAACAAAATATTCTTCATCATCTTCTCTCATTTGCAAAAAAAAACATAAGAAAAATACATTTACAAGAGATTTAATGAGTGTAAATAAAATTCAAAGACAAATGATTAAAAATTTCAAAAAGAATATAATAATAAAAAAGCATTGGTAATGATGAGAGTTGATAGATGAAAATCTATTGTAATTTTGAATAAAAAAAAATATTAACTGTATTTCCTCAATTAATTATTCATAATGTACCTTCTGTAGTCCATCGAAGTAAGGTGGATGTTTAATATAAGTAGAATTGGGATCCCAAGGGTATAATTGTCCCTCAGGAGCGGCGAGACAGGCCCATCGTGGGCTGCCCTGCTCAATCCTCTCGTAGACACTCTTGAACATGGCTGGGATGACGTACTGCTGCTCCACTGCTTGAATCTCAGCCCTCGTGGGCCAAATATCGTGGAGGAAAATCTCACGACCGTCGATCCTCCTCCCCAGTGGCTCCTTCTCGAAATCAATGTCCACTGTACCTGCAATTGCGTATGCAATTACGAGGAGAGGTGACGCCAGGTAATTAGCCCTCGTGCTGGGATGAATTCTTCCCTCGAAGTTACGATTGCCGGAGAGGACGCCACAACAGACTAATTCGTTCTGTGAATAATTCCATTATTATTACGATGAATTATTAGACTCATTGACTGGAGTATTGGCCATTCAATTAATTTAACAGTTGCATTCAACGATAAATCCCAATTTAATTAATTATTTCGAGGAATTGAATTACATTTTCGTCTTTTATTTTTCTCTTTCAAGTCTCAACTTTTTCATCCTCGATTCACTCGACACAGGTAATAAACACGTAATTAATTCGCAATTAATTCATCAAATTTAATATTATTGGGAAAAATTTTTTAAGCGAGAAAAAATTATAACTGAATAATTTTCCAATATATCAAACACGTAATAAACGAAATAATTATCACGTTATGGGCTTATTGGCTTACAACTATTTAATTTTTCATTCCATGAGAATTAAATATTAAATATCGATTGAAAACAGTATTTCTGGCAATAAAATAAACTCAAACACCTGCGAAATGTAAAATTTCAAATGATTCATGAACAATAGGTACCTTCTCAATAGCATCAACAATAGAGTCGTCCAGCGGTCCGCTGTTGCCAATACAAGTCATACAGCCATATCCCACAACGTCGAAGCCGAGCTGAGTCAGCGGGGGGATGACACCGCTCTCCTTCAGGTAGTAAGTGACCACCCCAGAGCCAGGGGAAAGGGATGTCTTGATGTACGGGGCTACGGTTAAGCCCGCCGCGACTGCTTTCTTCGCGAGAAGACCTGACGCAGTTGAGTTTAAGAATACAATTCAATTGATGTTAAATCAAGGGACAAATGTGACTCACCTGCACCAAGCATCACACTCGGATTGCTCGTATTTGTACAGCTGGTGATTGCGGCAATCACTACCGATCCGTGACGCAGTTTGTAGTCCTTACCCTCGAATTGAAATATGCCCTCGACCTTTGTCTTCTCCGGGGTGAGACCGTAGCCCTTGAAGCCGATCTATTGGACGGCGAAAATTTACGAAAATTCATAAATATTTTATTCTGCCAAATGCCTGGCTTTCTCGGAAATAATCAATCATATTTTATTGCAGGGCTAAAGGGGACGTTTATGAGCCCCGAGTTACCCAGGTAATCCCACTCGCAGGTCATTTTCATGAGTCCTTCGGTGATCGTGCACCTGCTTGGATTTTTCGAGAAAAGTTTTACAAACTTTTGCCATTTACATTCAATATTTTTCATCATTTGGACTTCTGAAATTTTTTTTAATGCCTAACGAAGTCTCGGGGGCTCACGTTACCGATTGACGTTCCACACGACGTGTGGAATATGCAGAATTGAAGAAATTGTCAGATCAGCGATTATGATCAGGAGGCGCGTGAACGGTGCCTCGACGATTCGTACGGGTTTTGCAGTTAATCGGGAGTTTTCAGCGGTGTCGGACAGCCAGCGGCAGCATTCGCGCTCGCGAGAGAATTTTTCACCGGTAATTTACTGATTTTTGGTGATAAAAGTTCAAGTCAGGTAGACAATTTTCGTCGGCTCCGGGGGACAATGAAGGGATTAGGGTATGAGTATTTCTAGGGACTAATTGAATGCCCGGGCATTGTAATGAGCGTCGAGATATTGTAATGAGTCTCTCCGGTATTTCGTGGAAAATGGACAGTACTTGGTTTGGAAAATTCATTAATTTTATTTTAACGACCAACGACTGACCGGCAGTTGAGATCCCTCGGATTCACGATTCATTGCAATGAAAGAAACGAGACGCCGATGTTTAACGCAGTTGAATAGATATTGCGATCGATAAAATGCATTCTCGAGTTGCCTCTAGAGTTCTCATCCGAATGGTGAGCAATCATTTTTAAGGCATATGGAGGTTTCTCAATTATGGAGATTCGGTTTTAATCGACGAGAGTAAACAGAGACGATAAAAAACCTGTGTCAATAGTTGGGCTTTTCGGGGGATTATTAGTATTGCATAGCAATTTTCGGTGGGAAGAGGTAAATTTTTTAATTCATAATACAGTAGGTGATTAATTTATCCCAATGATTAGTGATTTTTGGAGGAAGTGTCAAGGAAATTGTTTTTTCCTGAGAAAAATTTGTTGACGGACGTTTTGGATTTTTGATATTCATCAAGATTTCATAATGATTATTGATGACTTTTTCAATAATTTTCTGCTTGCATTCGTTACAAAATTATTTCCCCCGCTCAATCCTCAACCTATTAAAATTAAAAAAAAAATTATCTGATTCGAAGAATTTGTTTTCCGACATTTCAGAGATTTAAATTTCTTCAAGATTTTATGATAATTGAGAATTGGTTTAAATAATTTTCTGTTTCCATTGGTTCCAGAATTGTCCCCCCCCACTCTATTTTGAACCTGTTGCAACGTTGGGCCAGTGGCAGAGGGAGGAATAAGGACAAAGGGTGCATCGAGTGACCACTGGGCCCGCCAATCACAGCGCTCCACCCGGGGTGGGAGGGCAGCCGAATCGGTATAAATTTGGGCGCCCGGTCAGCAAGGTCATCAGTCTACCGAGAGCGACCACCAAGGTATCACCTGTATACCCATCATCGGCTTAATTCAAGTGTTGACAGTTGAATTTTCATCGAGGAGACTGCTGTCGGATGCAATCTCGTCCGGTGTGGGATAATCGAGGCCTCACCGGGTAGGATTCATCCAATATTAGTCCCTCAACTACAGTTTTTCAAAATTATTTCAACATATTACCGAGTGACTTGGATCTGGAGACGCAGTATCGATCTAGTGGCACGGAAATTTCACAATCGTGACTAGATCGAAATACTCGTCCCTGGATTCAAGTAATTTCAACGATTTTGAATTCTCGGGATCGACGGGGAGGAGCTGCAGCCTTCAAAATTATCTCATTGGTATTTCTTTGGTGATCTAACTGTATGGTGAATTTTTAAATTCATAAAGCTAGATCAGCAAGGTAACACCGGTGGGAAACATCATCGTGGGACTCATCTCTTCAATTTACTCTGATTTGTGTCCTGAATTTTTTCGAATGATTGTTGGAGTTTCGAAGGACTTGTGCAGTGATTTGTAACATTTATATCCATATCACAGCACAAGTTACTTTAAACTCTGCGATTTCATACATCAACAATTGTGTTCATCGATTTATCGTGTGCTTTTTAAATTATTTTAATTATTCAATATAGTGAACGAGAATAAGTGCAGAATGGGATGAACTTGATTCAGGCTGGCGTCCCAATGAATCGTCACTGGGTTAAGTTTGTCCCATGCGTGTACTCAATATACATCACTCATTATTGAAAATTGTTGTCACCTTGTTTGTGAGGCAGCTGTTGAAATCTGATTTCATTTCAGAGACTGAGACGCGGTCGTGGGGCCTCTTGGGCCCACTGACGCTGGACACTACTGTTCCCAAGTCCAAGGTTACTGTTTCGGAGAATATGGGGTCCTGGGATTCATTGTTGTAGTCACGGAGCATTCGGACGGCTTCCAGGTATTTCTCTATGCGCTCAATGTGCTCTTCGGTTCGACCTGAGTATAAAACAAAATTAATGAATTCAATTGATTTCAAATTCGCCGAGAAAATAACGACAGAATCTATTTTTTTCGATCAATACTCTTATCCAGTAGCAAAAAAATCATGCAAATGGAGAAATTGCGTGAAAAATTTTAAGTAATCTTTCTGTAAATTACCGGTTTGTCTCAAATACCCCAAACTTTGTCTATCAACCGGGAAAAAGCCCACAGTGGCGCCATACTCTGGGCACATGTTCGAGATAGTGGCTCTATCAGCAATGCTCAACTCAGCAACTCCAGGTCCATAGAATTCCACGAATTTCCCAACAACTCCCAACTGCCTCAGATTCTGTCAACAAAAATCCCCGACATTTTCTTTATTTCGTTTTTTATCGTAAGCCCCCACTGCGTTATCCTCCAGAACAAATCCACTATCTCCGAATTACCTTCGTAATAGTCAACACAAGATCAGTCGATGTGACGTATTGATTCAAAGTCCCCACGAGTTTGTAACCAATGACCTTAGGCAGAAGCATGGAGACAGCTTGACCCAGCATGACAGCCTCGGCCTCGATCCCTCCAACACCCCACCCCAGAATTCCCAGTCCATTGATCATCGTAGTGTGAGAGTCAGTGCCAACGACACTGTCAGGGTACAACAATTCATCTTTATCGAAAACTACTCTGGCTAGGTACTCAAGGTTCACTTGATGCACGATTCCACTTCCTGGGGGGACAATCAGCATATTTTGGAGGGCTTTGGCTCCCCATTTCAGGAATATGAAACGTTCCTTGTTCCTTTCAAACTCTAATTCTTCATTTTTCTTCAGGGCGTTGTCACTGGAGGAACAGAACAATTTAATTTATTCTCTGAGTAAAATGAAAGAGGATGCAGTTTCCATTTTTAAGAGAAAAAATCAAAAAACATCATGACGTTTCGCTAATTATTTTAGCTTCATCAGGCTGTGCTTTTATTTTCGTCTCCCAATTATCAATTATTCTTTTTAAATATCAGATTTTTTTTTTGTATTTTCCACAGAAGCCAATGGTCGTCTCAATATTACCAGCCTCTACATTCAATTTCTTTCAATCCCCCCAACCCGCCATTATGAATGCAAAACAATGAAGAAAAGGTGACCTTTGACAACTGATGCGAGACTTACCTGCGAACGAAGTCCACTTGAATCGAATGATCGATAACTAAATCAGAAGGACAGATGGGATTGATTTTATCAGGGTTTCCTCCCAGTTCCTTGACAGAATCCCTCATCGCAGCGAAATCCACGACAGCTGGGACCCCAGTTAAATCCTGGAGGATGACCCTGGCGGGTTTGAAGGCCACCTCGACACTCTCCTCCTTCGCCTGATGGCTCTCCCATTCCAGGATTTTCTCCACGTCTTTCTTCTTCACTTGAAATTCGTCGCAGTTTCTCACTGCACTCTCCAGGAGCACTCTTATCGAGAAGGGTAAACGATCTAAAATAGAAAAGATTTGACTTTTATTCAACTCTTATTCTTAATTCTATCGAAGGATTCTGCAGTTTTACTGCGCCTTTTTTTATCATAAAATGTGCAATAGAAAAACTAAAATTTTCTTTTTCTATCCAACCTATTCTATTCAGAAACTTTCTATAGAAATTCTTTGTTACGAATTTTCCAAGTTTTCCCACTCAATTTTTTTATCTTTCAATTCAGAAAATCAAATGAAAAAACGTGCAAAATTCGATCCGAGGAATTTCCGCAAAAAATACATCAATAGAATAAGTTGTATAGAAAAATTTAATTCTATTGACTTTCTCCATCGAACATTTCTATTGAAGAAATGCGCACATAAGCGGCGGAATTTTCCAATGGAATAGGTCAAAACCTAATAAAAAGTTGAGCGAATTCGTCAGGTTAATCTATGAAATTCCTCCGTACGTGCAATAATATAATCTGATGATAAAAAGAGAAAAAACCGAGTATCACGCTGGTTCGATTATTAGGTCAATCGTATAATTACCATATTTTTCACCAAAGGCTCCCACATCGTAGTACCGACGATTTTTACCTGAGACCGAGATTGGCTTGAGGAGATTACAATAGGGGTTAGGATCTGAAAAATGGAAAAATCACCGATTATTAAAATCACCCCATGAATTGCGAAATACCTGTTGCCCCTGATACGATAACTCAGGTGGATAATCGTAACTGGCAATAATACAAACGACATCTGAGTATTTTCACGAACTCGAAAAATAACTCGACATTTCAACAATTATATTTCACAATTCAACTGAATCGAATTTTCCAGTATTTTTTAATGCTTTTTATTATTGATAGATGCAGAAATCAGCACTCACCAGCCATGATTGTCAATCCTCGAGTCACGTCCTCTCTGTTACTTCAAACAGAATTTTCGAGTGGTTATGCACTCTCATGTACAAAACACCAACAAAACCATTCGGCTATTATCGGAATTGACTTTCATCGTCTCGTGAATCGTCGACTGTTGCTGCTGCGCTGTGGAATCCTCCTCGGACGGACGGAGCTAGCAGATAAATAATTAATTTCCGGATGAAACCAATTCCAATCGTTTGGGCACAGTTCAGCATTTTGGATTTTGCAAATTTTTTTCAGTGGAGAGAAAGACAATGCAATGGCCAACCGTCTGTTCTGTCATATTTTCGCGGAAAAACATGGCTGAAAATCATGTATGCGCACGCGCGTTGCCGTGATGCTCGCGACACTCGTGAAAGCATAATTATACAGCATTCGTCGGTAAAACAAATATTTCGGTTCTTACCTGACGATTATATCGCGTTCTAGCTGGTCGATATCCCTTACTATAGAAGTGTAAATGAATATTTTCGATAAAATGACATCATAGTCGAAAATCGAATTTTTTAGCCTTTCGAAATGATTTTGCAACGGTTCAGGCGGTTCCGATCAACATGTGATGACACCCCCTCCGAACTATACGCCATATAAAAAGTATTTAATTATAAATAAACTATTACTTCCTAAACTATGAAATTCCATTCCTAAATTATCCCAAGTTATTCCCAAAGTATTGAATTGGTTTCATCCGAAAATGGATTATTCATCCGCTAGTGGTGTGTCCGTGGAACACGGAGATTCTGGGAAGCTCTGACCAAACTAGCTTACCTCAGGCCGGTCTCATCTCCGTCGGGAAAGCCGAGTGGAGAAAATTACGGGAGAGGAATCCACCGGGGGTTCAGGCGAGTTTAGGAAAGAACGGGACGGGATTTCTCGTGGAGAGACGACTGGCGCTTCGTGGGACGGGTTCGTGGCAGTAGTGCCGAAGTGCTAGTTGGTGCTAGTGTTTTACAACACAATCGTTCCCCTTTTTTTTACAACTGTGCGCTGAAAATTATTCCAACGCGGGGCACAAGGTGTCCCAGTGGCCAAAGCGACCGCACCGTGCAGTGTGAAAAGAGATTTACTCGTCGTGAGGGACGAGCCAGCTGAAACAATCGGGAATAATAAAAGTGTTTGAGGGAGTTTCACTCGGCGTTTTCACCGTTGCTACACTCTGTTCCCACATTACCGCGAATCCATCGCTTTTTGCGGCCCCTCAGTGTCACTAAAGTGTCTCGTGTCTCAACAATAATCCAACAACAATGGGTAAGTCGATGGTTTTTCACGCCGGCCTCAAACCCAATTTTCACCCCTAATTTTCGGGTCGTCGGTAATTAGTTGATTGACTAATCAACTTTCAATCCCATCAACGGCGATTTTTCCAATCACATCGAACGTTTATCCCCCTCGTCACGAAGCCCATGTTTGCCCGAGATACGCCCTAACATCCTCCACCTCTTGTTCTCAAAGCCCCCACGTTATTTCCGAAATTAAATTTTCCAACATTTTCCCCACCCCCATGGATTTTGTGACCCGACCCCTCTCTAAAATTAGTTTGACATTTTCTCCGGGACGATAATACCCGTTTCCGTGTGCTTCCTTTCGGTTTTCATTTTTTTTTCTCTTCCCATTCTTTTTGTTTTCCTCTTATTCTCATCTCTCTTTCTCTTTTTGACTATTCCTCTGTTCTCACTGACTGCTGGCGGTCTGTTAACTATAGCCTGCCACACCTTACGAGAAATCAAGTCTCTGAATATGATTGCTGATGAGAGGAAGGATTTTTCATTAATTCCATGCAGCAATCAGGGATTTTCAGACGAGGGGAATTGCAACGCGTGTCCTTTTCTCATATCGATTTATCCGTATCGCTATAACGAATGGAGAACGGTTCACTGGAATCGTGCACCCATTGACACAATTTTATTTTCTTCATTTTTCTCCACTTCATTAGCCGGTGGATTCTTTACTCAGCGACTGCGGCGGGGGGCGGGGGGTATTTGGTTTAAAGACTGCCAGCAGTGTCTGGAGTTACGTAATTTCATCGGTAATCATGGACACTCGTCATGCACTATCGAAAATGTTTGTTTATTTAACTGTCCCGCTGAAAGACGAGTTGTTGAATTGCAACTCTCTTTATCACGTTTATAAATACATTTTAATCGACTACTCGAAGCAGAGAAACACTTCAGAAATAGCGGGACAACGTCACCCTGTTTTTTTTCTAATTCACTCTTTATTTTGTCTTATTTGGTTTTTATTGGACATGACGTCATGCCCATGCCCATTGGCTCATCAGTGATAATGGTGGGATTATCAAGGTTTATACATTGACGACTGGCCATTAAATTCGTGATTTCAGGCCGGTAAATAACGGGGACGCATTCGGAGAAGTTCTCAGAAGGAAGTTCACTTTGTATTCAGTAATTTTTTGGTGAATGTTCGTTTGGTAAATTCCCTGGGTGAAGTGGGTAATTAAAATTCGGCTTATCTTATCTCTAACGGTCGCTTGAGCACCGCGAAATTCTTGTTATCCAACAGGCATGGCTCTTGTACCGATAATTTGTCGATGGACTCCAGCGCATGCTACGGGCTCCATTTAAACCTATCGAATTGAATTAGCGGGCAATTGCTAAGTCATTGGGCAATGAGAATATCTGGAACATGGAAAATAGGAATAATTGTGAATGAAATGGCCCCGGGGGTTACAGTGCGACAGACTGGTTAGAGGGTTTGACATTTGACCCCACTTTGTGACATCCTATTTAGTCCACTTATGAATGACATTACCGCATACGTTATCAGCTGCGAGGAGATGTGGAATTGAATAGTCAGAGATCATTTTACAAGTGTTAATTTCGTACTAAATGGGATGTATTGTGTTGTTTTTTTCGCTTGCAGGGAGAACGTTCTGTCAGTCGTGCAAGAAAAAATGCAGTGGAGAAGTTTTGAGAGTGCAGGACAAGTACTTTCACATTGGATGCTTCAAGTGTGCACAGTGCAATAATAGCCTCGCACAGGGTGGATTTTTCGCGAAGGAGGGGTCGTACTACTGCACCAAGGTATGGATGTTGGGAAATGATTTAATTAAGGATATCCAAGTGAAATGACTCTCTACTTTTGTTGTCGAACATCAGAGCTCTCATTTGAGCTCTCTTTATTGTTGAAACTTTGCAGGACTGAATTTGAATCCTGATGTTGAACCGTTGGAAAATATTTTAGAAATCTGAAAAATGATCTGATTGATGAAATACTTTTGAGAAATGAATAAATAATTTTTTTAAATCATTTTTGCGGAATCGTAATAAATTTAAAAATTCATGCGACGCTGAAAATTCATGATTTTTCTCACGCAGTTTAATTGGCTAATTTAATGATTGAAAATCGTTCAATCTATAGTGCTGTCTGTATCAAACTGTGAAAAATACTTGGATGTCCTTAACTCAGTTTTTTTCAAAAAAAAAATACGTGCAAATAAAAATGAATCATCACTAAAAATGAGCTCCGAACAAACTTCAAAGGATGTGATAAGAGAAAATTCACTGAGCTGATTTTTTAAATTATATTTCCATGCGCTATTGGAAATATATAGATAGGCTTTTCGAGTGTAATGAGATATCAAGGGACATTATGCTTGAAATGTGTGGAATTTGGAGTCACGTTAATGACCTTTTAATGCTGGTGATTTTATCATCGGTCTGAGTTTCTATGGATCCACCTCTTCAATCTTATTTACAATGAAATTATTAAACTTCAATAAGGAAATCAATTGGACTTTCTTTGCTGATGAATATCTCGAGATGAATTGCCGATTACTTGGAGATCTTTGCTCTTCACGAATAATAAATTATAATTAGAGCTGGGCGAACGACTGTTGTAAATAATTCATCGAACTTTGTCGATTTTTTTCTTTTTTTCTTTCACTTTATTATTCGGAATAATTTATATTTCGATATTTATGTTAAAATATTAATTATTATTATAAATATTAGTATATTCTAATAATTATTTATTTATTTCAATATTTATATTGAATATAAATTATTCAATACTTAGAATGAAATATCAAGCATCTTCATATTTCATTCCAATTTCAAAAGAATAAATGAATACAATTCGATGGATCAAAATAGTATTCAGATTTAATTGTCATGAAACAGTGGCCAATTTTGATTACAAACAATTGATCAAAAGGATTACCGCGAACGCTGGGGAACGAGATGCGCTGGTTGTGGCGAGTACGTCGAGGGTGATGTAGTGACAGCCGGAGAAAAACACGCATTTCACCCCAATTGTTTTCACTGCCAGAGATGTAGACAGCCACTGTTGGGTCAAGGAACGAAAGTGACACTTGTTCAAGGTATACGATCGTTGACTCCACTCTCATATCTAAACCGGTCTGATTTCACACTTTTCCACGTTTTTGCCTGTTCAGGTCAAGCTCTGTGCCATCGTTGCGTGGGGATACCAGTGCGCGAGGCATCAACTCCACTGGGAAGTAAATCCCAGGATGGAGGGATCAAGAGCACTGGCAGGGGGAGCAGTAATGATGCTGGTGCTTGTGCTGGATGTGGTGAGAAACTTCAGGAGGGACAGGCACTTGTCGCTTTGGACAGGCAGTGGCACGTTTGGTGCTTCAAGTGTCACAGCTGTGACAGTGTTCTTCATGGTGAATACATGGGAAAGTAAGTTCTTTTTAGGAAGAATGGGCACTACGTACAAACAATAAAATTTGGAAGAATCAGGTTCCATTCTCAAGCTTGAAAAAAAACAACTTGAGAAACATTTCAAATAAAATAATATTAAAATAATTGGAATTAAAGAAATCCTATTTATAATAATTCAGCGGATTTCTCCAAATTTTCTTCATTTTTTTATTCGAAAATTTTTTTTCACGAGAGAAAATTAGAAGCTAAAAAACATTTCACAGCAAATTAATGATTAATTTTTACAATCAACTCATCGAGTTCTTATCATTGCAGAGATGGTGTTCCATACTGTGAGAAAGATTACCAGAAGCAATTTGGTGTTAAATGTGCATACTGCAGTCGTTACATAAGTGGAAAGGTCCTTCAAGCCGGTGAAAATCATCATTTCCATCCAACGTGTGCCCGCTGCACCAAGTGCGGTGATCCCTTCGGCGATGGAGAGGAGATGTATCTCCAGGGGGCAGCTATCTGGCATCCACGATGTGGCCCAGGCCCAACTGGGCCCAATGGCATCGTCAATGGACACGGTGCAACAGATATACACACCCCACAGCACAGAGAACAGTCTGAACGCATCTCCAGCAGTGCATCGGAGATGCAGGTGATACTTTGAGATTTATTCGCACCCTTTGAATCCTCAATCAGTTATGATTTTTATTTAATTCATCCTGTATCACTTTTTTTTGTTTTATCGTTTTATGCACGATTTTCCCGTAGTATTCATTGAGATCACGCACACCCAGTTTGAATGGATCGTTGTTGTGCAGCCCTTATAGCAGCCTCAGTCGCAAGGTATCCTGTTTATTTTAATCTTATTGTTTTATACTTCTCATTTGTATTTTATTTTTTCCCTTTTCGAATATTCATAATGCATCGGTGGAAGATGTACAATGCACTGATATGTAAATAATCACCTTGAAATTATGGTAAATAATTAGTTCAATGGAAATGGAATGCATTTTGCGGTCATAATTGCAATAAACTCATTGAATTGTGAGGGCAAATGAAAGAAATGTTCAGAGAGAATATTTCTTAATTAAATATCAACTTGATTGAGTTCTTGACATAAATATTCGACTGTTTTAACGTCAACATACGCAAGAAAAAAAATTCTTACAATTCAGTTAGTTTATCGGAGTGGAAATTTCAGAATGTTTTTTTCAGTTGCATTCAAATGATATTCCAACTTTATTTGGGCAAATGAAATAACAGTTGTGTGTAATGCTGTGAAATCAATCATTTTATCAAAATGAAGTCAATGTTGACGATGAGAGTTGCAAGAGAATATTATGCACGATTTATTGAGAATAAATTATTTATTTTATTATTTTTTTATTTATTTATGCAAACAGTACTACCCAGCACGTACCGGCTCACCAGGACTCATCCTCCGAGAATACGGCCGAGGTGGAGAGGACATCTCTCGCATCTGCACTTACTCATACTTAACAGAGACACCGAGTCAAGGTTACCTGAGACGTCCGATCCAGCCATACGATAAGCCACCAACGAGCCCCCACTTTCATCGCCCAAGCTGTAATTAGATTTATCAACCTCAATTGACATAAAGAGAAAAATTTTTGTTTGAGAACATTCCAGCACGTACGAAAAAAATTAAGACATTCGATTTTTCTATACAACTTATTCTATTGAGATATTTGTTTGCGAAATTCCTCGGCTCAAATAGAAAAAACATGGAAAATTCATCTCAATTCTTACAGGAAATTTCTCAATGGAAAGAGTTGTAGAGAAAAATTAAATTTCGCAAGGTTTTTCTATAAAATTTTTTTCGTGCGTTGAATTTATGTGGAACACAATTCCTACTTTAACATGCAGATTGTTCTACAGTTTGTTTCAAATGGAATTTCTAATTATTTATAGCCTCGAGGTCGATAAGAAGCAGTGGAGGCAGAAGCAGTCGCTCGGGTATGCGAGCCTTGGTGGATGCACTCAGTGAGACGAGACCAAAATCACCAGCAGCTGGCAGTCAAGTAGACAATGACGAGCCCATTGAATTGGCCCACTATCCTGACGCGATGAAACGTCCACCTGGGGCGAAGCCTCCGATAGAGCGTGACGACTTCCCAGCCCCACCTTATCCTTACACAGACCCTGAGAGACGTCGAAGATGGTCGGACACTTACAAAGGCGTGTCTGATGATGAGGACGAAGACCTCACAGCCACTGAGACCAACGACAAGGACATACTCGATGGGGTCCAAAAGAATTACATCAAGGAGGCTGAGCAGAAGCTCAAGAAAGAGCAGGATGAATTGAGTAAAATTGATACGGGCATTGCCAAGGTCTTTCTTCATGACATCGAGAAGAACAGGGAGAACCTGAGACACAGGGCAGCCAATGTCGATCCCAGAAATGCCTCCAGGACACCTTCGGCTGCTAGGGAACCCACGTATCGACTGAGATACGAGAGTCCAGTTGGCGCTTGTAAGAATTTTCATTTTTTCATTTAATTCTTCGTTATTTGCACAAGTTTCTCAATTTGGTTTCATAATTAATAATCTTATGAATCCGCAAAAAAACAGTTTTTAAAAAATTGATAATGTTTTCCATCTCAATTATTACAGCACCATCAAGAAATATTGATCACGCTCGACCCTGGGAGGACGAGGACGGCGTAAGTTACAAATCCAGCACTGGCCCCAGTTACAACGGTAATAATCCCCCAAGTATCTCCAAAGAAATAATAAAAATGATAATACATTTTTTTTTTTCATTGACTAAAAAGTCCGTCATCTCATACATGTCCACACGTTCGCACATTACACTAACATAAATCTCCACTCTCGATTGCGCTTACTCACCGAAATTCCGAAGAAGCGTAGAGATGTAGAGAGACAAATCAAATGAATGGTTTGAATTTCATTTGATTTAACTGAGAGGGAAGATCGTGGCGGAAATAAGAGTTGAGTAAATGAGCATTCTGGGTCACTGCATGCTGTGGGCTATGGTTCGGGGGGTTCAAGTCATTATCGAGGAGGATGATGCTCGTTGGCCTCTGTCGCATGCTGTAAGTCATTGAAACAAACTTTTAAAGCCCACGAAGAGTCACTAATTTGGCTGAATATCACTGCACTCTTGCGTTTTATTTCAATTTCTTCATCCTCGCATGATAAAATATTGAGTTAAGGACAGGGTGTATTATCTTTCAAACATTATCGTGGGTTTTCTATTTAGATAATCTAAAATGTTCTCTAATTGCCATACAGCTTTGTGTAATGATATAAAATAGTCAGTTTTTAATGAATATCTCGGAATCTTAGGCAGATAGCACAATTTTCGTTGAAACCTTTTTCGTAGCTCTCAATTCGCTCCACGAAAAATGTCTTTACGAAAACTTCGCCATCTCTCTTAGTTTCCAAGATATTCCTCGAAAACTCAGTTATGAACCAAGTCGACTTGAATGGTTGGGACATATTTTAGATTATAAAGATGGAAAAACAATCGAGACAGTCGAAGATAATCCACTCGGGCCTTAATTTTCGACACAGACTCAAACCTTTTGCGCACAAAAAAAGATAGGGGTAAAAAAAGCGGCATTTACCCTCGTCCTTTTTTCTCATGCGTCTCGAGAATTTCAATCAACTCATGAACTGCATTTCAATCATCTCCTGTCTGTCTTCATCTTCATCATTATCACTGAGAATTTTATTTTGGTTTGATTTAAAAAAAATCTGTCTGTGTTTTGTGTTTGTGTACGTGTGTTGTGTCGATACTTGGGGATGCATCGTCAAGCCGGGAGATCATCGACTCGTTCCCCAGCACCCAGAAACTATCCACCTATCGGTAATCAACGCGCCTTCACACTTCCAAACGCTGCTAGGCACTATCAATCGGTGAGTTGGTTGTTTTTAGTCGCCTCCACGAACACAAACACGCTTTTTTCTATCAATTTATCATTTATCCAAGATCTTGGGGAAAATATCAGTATTTTCCTCACTTTTCCAAGACTTGGGACAGTATTTTGTAAAAAAAAATGTGACCTGAATTTTTTGAGGAAGTGAAACTAGGCCTTCGATCATTCTTTCAATTAATAGCTTTAACCGCTTATTTAACGTTTATCATTTGATTTTCCTTGGAATTCCGTTTCTTCCCTCAACAATTAACCAGTGAATATGAGAAATTGTGCTGCGAACGTTGGGCATTCGTATAGATACGTGGATTTTTGTTCGTTGAAAAAAAAGGAACGTTTATAAAGTATCAAGAGATAATTTTTTGTTAATTATCACGATTAATCATTTGAAATTCAGTTGTGAGCTCACTTCGGCACATCCCAAAGCCGGGATACGGTCTGGCCCCGCGAAGTCACACCTTCTCGTCCACCGGCGGTTCAGTATCTGCGCTTCCTGTAAGTTAAACAATCGCCGGCGCGTTTTCTCCTCATTCTCCTAATTCTCTCTATTCAGTTACTAAAACTAAAATTGCATAATGCGAACAGGTATTGAAGAGACATTGACATCATCGTGTGATATTGACATTCTAGTGATTATTCAATTCTCGATGTTTTACGTTCACCGAAAAAGTCCAAACAAATGGCTCTATTTTTTCATGATTTTGTTTTTATCAGGGTGATTATTCATTCAGTGGAATGGGCGACAAAACGCACAGCACCGATTTTTCCTCCGGCAAGTCAGATAGTAAGTACGAAAAGATGACGAGGAATCATCATGACTCCCTCGATAAAACGAAATTCATGTTACTTTAGACATTATTTTATTTGCTTTGCTGTAGATCAATGCTTCGTACAAATGTCCCAAGACATCTCGATTGATTTAGTATTTCCATTCGAAATATTGATGGGTTGTTGCATGAATTTTTTAAAATCAAATTGATGAAGCGTCTGCATTCTGACTTTGCATTACACTGCTAGAAGAAAGTGAAATATTTGAAATTTTTTGGAAAATGTGTACGATTGAAAAAAAATCATGCAAAAGCCCAATTGAAAAATCACCTCACGCAATTGATGAACGAATAATGGTTGAATTTTCTTTCTCACGTATTTGAATCGTCTCTAGTATCGACAGGCAGCATCACAGACGTGGATCGCCGAGCCCTGGTATGTACAGCAGCCCCGTACTTCTCACGAAGAATAAGCATGGTTTGTAGAGTCTTGTGTCTTGTCTTCAGTGTAGGGGAGGGTGGGGCAAAATGGACACTTGGCATTTTTTCCTAAATGTCCAATGAAAAATTATTTTATGGATGAAATTGGTAAAATTTCATCGTTCTATCCAACTCTTTTAATTAAGACATTTTCTGTCATAAAATTTCTAAAGAAAATATCCCAATGGAATAAGTTGTGTAGAATTATCGAATTATAAGTGACTCAAAAAAAAAAATTATCCCACTCCATTAACAATTCAATTTGTGATTAATATCCCAAAAAAGTCAAAAGTGTTAATTTTACCCCACTTGCCGCGACTCAATTGCCCCGAACATGCACGCTTATCATTATTCATGAGGGAAATACCGATAATTGAAATTGTTGAGAGTTGTGGCATGTGCTGCATGCCCGTGTAGACCATCCACATGAAATGAGAACGAAATAAGAAGAGAGTAGAGAAAAAGTTGGGTGATTTGTCGTGCATGGGCAAATGGGATTCATACAGATGGCTGTTATGATGAAAAAATAATTCATAATAATTTCTTTTCTATTCAGAATGATGGTGGTATCATGCCATCATCAACGACGTACACCGGTGGTCTTGGTACCGCTGGTACTGGCCACGGACATCACATCAGACGCTCACTGCCGGACATGGGAGCTGCCCCAACTGAACCACCAAAGCTTTATCCTTATCACCTGCTTATTATCACAAATTACAGATTGCCTGCTGACGTCGATCGTTGCAATCTAGAGGTAAAGTGCAATCATTTTATTTTTCATTTTATTTAAAAGTTGTATGAAAAAATATAAAATTCTATTGATTTTTTCTCTAAATTTTTTTTCGTGCAATTGAAGGGTCAAATCTTTGGAGAAATGAAAAAATCACTCATGCAAAAAAATTTGATAATTATAAAAACAACATTTTTCAATTTCAGCGACACTTATCGGACGCTGAGTTCGAAGCAGTCCTTCAGTTCAGTCGAGCCGAATTTTACAGACTGCCGCAGTGGCGCCGTAATGAGATTAAACGTCGCGCCCGATTGTTTTAAACTCGGTATTAGAATTTCAATTTTTATCAACAATGTGCACGAGTGCACAATTCTCCTCTGCTGCATAAGAAAAACGAATATATTATATGATATTGAGAGGCATAAAGTTTTATCGAGAGGTAAAAAAAGGATTTGATTGGGGTTTTTGAATCGCCATGTCGAATAGACGATGTTATTAATGTCGGATTCACATTTTGTAACGCTTTTTCTTTCCGTCATTTTATTGAGAAGCCCAACCTTTTAGAGTTTAAAGTTGTTCATGAGTCATTACGAGAACAAAACAACTTCGCTTCGTTTAGATGGAAATGATTGACGAACGAGTGCACTATAATTAATATAATTGAGAAGAAAGATACATGTCGTTCGTCCATCATTTTTTTTTACATAATAAACAAGAATACATATAATCCCTGCGGACGTAGATTCGTGTATGTATTTATCAGATAAGTTTTTCAATAATTCTTTATATTTGTTTGCTCCGCTGTCTTTAATTTATCACATTTTTAACAAGTTTTATCACTCTGAGAAAAGCAGAAACTTTGGCAACTAAAATACATAAACTGCCAGATTGATATTCCAAGTGAATGGAAGTGCATAATTCGATAGGTAAGAGAGGATTTTGCGAGGATGAAGTTATTAAGATAGCTGAACGAACGTAAATGGTATTTTAACGCTATTTGTTCGAGTGTCGTGAAGACGATACTCCCACAAATATTTCAATATTTGCATTTTACCCAGAAGTCATGTGCCTATATGGATGAATGTCAGTGACATTCGCATAACACAGACAATGTTTTTTTTCTTCATTCGCAGACAAAAATTTTAAAAAGTTAAGGAGCATTGGAAATTATCGCATATCGTTAAGATAAAAAGAAAACTTATTCGTGCAATGTATATTTTTGTTGTGAAGCAAAATCAAGAGAAACATAACGCTGAAAAAATGGTGAAGTTGTTGTGAGAAAGATGAGAAAAACGAAACAATCATACAATTGGTACACTTCATTTTTGCGAAAAGTTAAAGAAAAAAAACTGTTTTACATTTGCCGTGTTGTACGAAGCACACACTGCTTCCGCTAGTCCACTAGCATAAATGAAAAAAAAAGTTGAATAAATACGCAAACTATGAGTAATTAAGTCTTATCATTCCAAAATCTCATTCTTTACGTTCACGATCGAATTTTAATTGCTTCCACTTCCTCTTGCCTCCACATTCCACGTTAAATGGTAGTAAAACAGGAAAACAACAGGTGGCAACAATTTGTACATATTTATTTACAAATCTGACTGATTAGAGTGAAAGGGGGAACGACTAGACAATTGGATCATTCAAAATAATGGACAATTTGTAATCAGTGGCACTGTTATCTCATCAAGGCGATTTTTTTTCCCTCTGCGGGTCACTGCCATTTGAGTAATGAGGCGGAGGACTGGATCCACCTCCAAGCTCCTCCTGAATCTGCTGCAGTGTCTTGCCCTTTGTCTCGGGCAGAATAAATATCGTAAATAATACACTTAAAACACAGAATACCGCGAACAACCAGAATGCTGTGTGCATGCCGAAGGCAGCCTCAATATTGCTGAAGAATTTTGTTATTAAAAATGCTAGTGTCCAGCAGACGAATACTGTGATGCCAGAGGCTTTGGCCTTGACATCGGAGGCGAACATTTCGCCCATCACTGCCCAGGGGAGAGGACCCCAACCGACGCAGTAGGTCGCGATGAAGATCATCAGAGATGTTACTGGCAGCCAGCCGAGGGAACTTATGTCCTCGTTATTTTCCTCAGCTTGTTTTTTAAGGTAGAAGAACAATCCTAATGCAATCTGCGGGAAATAAAATTTATTACTGATTTTCATCGACTAATTGAACTGAAATTTACAATTTCCACTGACTTTTCCTTAAAGTTTTGAATTTTCGGAGAAAAAAATCATCGAAATTTGCGCAGAACCATAACATGAAACCAATTTTCAACGAAATACTCACTAAGCTGACAATTTCTCCGATTCCCGAGAAAACGAGCAGAATTTTTCTTCCCAAACGATCAACGACGAGGGGTGTAACGCAAGAGGCTCCTATCTGCACGATTCCAACGATAATAGTCGATACAGATGGAGAGAGACCGCTGTCGGGATCGTCTGCGGGTTTAGTGGCATCGAAGATTGTTTGTGAATAAAACAGGACAACGTTGATACCCGTCATTTGCTGAAATGTCACCAATGCACTCGTGTAGATAAGCGCTCTGAAATTGCTCTTCACACGATAAAGATCCATGATTGATGTTTCGTTCTTGAATGCTTCCTCGACGGACGCCTGATAAGGATTCAGTAAAAATTTATTAATGCAGAATTGTTATTCAAATGATTCGTTAAATTTTTATATCCCGGGCCTATAATTCTGATATCATCTAATTATTGTTAATAATTAGATCATTTCTAGACCTCATGTAGAGGCCATGACGGTGAATGAATAGAATTTAGAATTCCTCCAAAGAAAAACCTGGTGAATTCAGTAGAAAATTTTATTCGATATCCATCGAACTTTCTACTAGTTTTCGTCCAATTTTATTGAAAAATTACCTATGCGCTTTTTCAAGTGTAAATGTTCGATGGAAAATGTATAGAAATTTGTGTCATGAGAAAAAATAATGTTCGTCGCATGGCCAAAAAATATTATGTCGTGCGTGTCTCTCATATGAATTTAGACCTTACAAACATTTGAGGTGAGCGAATAATAGTCCTGAGATGATACAGAAATAGGAATTCGTTGAATTCTGGTCACATCGTGAGGGGGTGGTAATCGGGGTGAAGGATACATGCCTTAATTTCTTCGGCCTCGGCTTGTACGCCTTCGACACTCTTGCCACGGAGTTTCGCGAGGGTAGTGATGACCTCGGAATGCTTCCCTTTGGCTGATAGAAAGTAGGGGGACTCGGGCATGAAGAAGAATACGATGAAGAACATGGCGGGGAGGATCATGCAGGTGATCCAGAAGACTGTGTACGTCACGTAGGGACCGATGCAGTACGCCCACAGGAGTCCAACTGTTATGAACAGTTGGAGGAATGATCCGAGAATTCCTCGGATTGATGGCTCCGCTATCTCACCTGCGTACATCGGCACCACCGTGAAGGCGAAGGCTATTGCCAGGCCACCGATAAAACGTGCGCCGTATAACATTCCGACGTTCGTTGCCGTTGCAATTAGTACCCAGCTTACGCCGAAAGGTACTATTGTTGTCAGCAGTGTTTGTTTCCTTCCGATTCTGGAATGGGAGGGATTGTGGCTGGTAATTACGCACGAAAAAATTTCGTAGAAGAACATTGCGGATTTCTGGTGGATTTCTATTCAACTCCTATCGAACAGTCATTAGTTTTTGGCCGATTCACTACGTATTTTTTATCGAAAATGTCCAATGGAAAATACCATTTTTCATATTGGGACTTTTTCTACAGACCGTTAAAAATTTTTTGATGCAAATTCCACTTCGTTTTGTGGTGATTAATATCACATTTTAGTTACATTGTAATTTCAAGGCATTTCATATTTGAAAATTGGAAATTTTGAGGAAAAATCGATGGAAGCTGAATTTCAGTTCAATTATTCAATGGAAATTGATAGAACTCAGAAAAATGGGCCATCTTTATCTCGATTTAGATTAATATAACGTAACGAGTCGAATTATCTCCTCTTGTTGCTTATGAAATTATGATGAGAATTACGTTTCGGCGAGATAACCCGCGACAAAACTTCCAACTAAAGCGCCCACAGGTGTTAATGATCCAATCCATGATCCTTCCTCGTCAGTGATTTTTTCGTCGAGGGGACTGAGGTCAGGATCCGTTACATTGGCCTTCAGATTCCCCAAGACTGGACTCGTCCACCCCAGGACAGCACCACCCGCGATGATACATAAATTGGCTACAATTTCAAATTTGATTGATATATTATCAGTGGCATTATCAGTACAGGAAGCACATCAGATTCTATGGAAAGATTTGTTTGCCTTCTGTTGTTTCGAAAAATTCGTTTCGATTTATTGTAGAAATACCGAGCAGTCTTATCGGTTTTATCGATCATTTATCATCGATTAACTCATTTTTACACGAATTCTTGCCCACCGAGGTGTCCACATGGAAAAAATATAGATCTTATTGTGAATTTTCTCGCATATTTTTCACTTTTATATATGCGAAATTATATGACCTACAGGAGGGAAATTGATGCGGTAGGCGTTTGCTATTTGATAGCGATAGTCTTTTCAAATGAATGAATGTTAGCTTCCATGCATGTTCAACTCATAATTTACATCCGACGAATTTCATACAGTGGATACACGAATGAATCTCAATGCGCTGTAACGATTGACTTCCGGAATTATACCGCGCGTAAAAAAGATTTCAATTGGCATTTCGGAATGTCTCTAGTATAGTGAACGAATTCAAGGATTTCAGGAGTAATATTTCTTCCGAATATTGCATTAAAGTGAATGGATCATTCGATGCATTATTTCGACATGAAATTGTTTTCTCAATTATTTTTTTATCGACAATTATTTTACACTTTAAAAGGAGTTTTCTGAGGGCTTCATTTATTTCCCGTTACCATTCATTATTGTTTACAATTTAGTTAATTATTTTAGACATTTCACATTTAATCATATGTGCCTAATATCATCTGGAAAAATACTACCGGTTAATAGTGTTTTTAAGGCCCTGCGTGATATACAATCTGATAAAAATTGTGATATATTTTAGATTATGAAGTAGGAAAAACAATGGAGATAAGGTTCGAATGTTTATCCATCTGGGCCTTAAAGTCATATTTGTATTTCGAAATACCTCTGGTATAGTGAACGAATTCAGGCATTTCTAGAGTAATATGTCTTCCAAATATTGAATTAAGTCAATTGAATGGATCTTTCAATACCTTATTTCACCTCGAAGTTATTTCTTCATTGTTTTATCATTGATAATTATTTAAACAATTAAAAACAATTATCTAAATGCCCATTTATTTCGCGTGCTACCATTCATTATTGTTTACAATTTTGTTAATTATTTCAAATATTTCACATCTAATAATATGTTCCACGGTAAAAAAGTTGATACTTGTATTTTTTTCGTAATTCCTCAGTAATTTAAAATTTTTTTGAATAATTTTCTGTTAAATTGGACCCAAATAACCGCAATTAGTTTTATTTCTCCATTATCTTCTTGAAAAATACTACCGCATAATATTCTTTTCGAAACGATATTGGTATTTCGAAATGCCTCTGGTATAGCGAACGAATTCACGGATTTCTGGAGTTATATTATTTCCTTTTAAAAGTATTTTCTCAATGATTTTTTTTTTGACAGGAGTTATCTGAATGCTTCATTTATTTCGCGTGCTACCACTCATTATTGTTTAGAATTTAGTTAATTATTTCAAACATTTCACATTTAAAAAAGTTGATACTTTTTTTTTATTCTCCAGCAATTTATGAACGTATCGAATAACTCTCTGCGAAATTGAATGCCAATGCCAGCAATTAGCTCAATTTTTCCACTATCTTATCGAAAAATACCAGCGGATAATATTACTGTTAAATTATGAGACTCACCAGCGACAGCAGCCACAAATTGGTAGAACTTGGATCCAGTTTCCTCGACCATTCTCTTGGGCACTTGGGAAACTGGAGTGAAAATAACACGATCCTCAATCTCCTGGATCTCTTCCTCGTTATGATCTAGAGTAGAATCCGTTGATGTTGGCACTGGTCTCGTGGATACTGGTGTGTATGCATAGTCTTTATATTGTCCCCCCTTTCCTGCCGAGGATTCCTCATTGGTGCTCATAGTGGGGGCAGCTAAATAGTGAATCCTTCACCCGGTGAATCACAATGTTTATTTGTTCTCTCACCAACTATATTTTCTCTGTCACTGACTTTTTTCTCAATGGAAACAGCTCGCTGCCGTCCACGAACTTTACTGGGGACCGTCTAAAAGTCAAGTGACTCCACCTCATCTCCCTCACCGATTCTTGGATAAATTTCTAATTGTGTAACACAAATTGATAGTGAGTTGATCAACTGCCAACGATTGGCTCATTTTTTTATCTCGAAATAAAGAACTCAAGAAATATTTCATAAGGTGTCAATGGTCGTTTATTCATTCGGAGGATTTGTACATGGCACATTTATTCTGCAGTGAATGCATCATATTTGGGGATAGTGATGTCAACAGAGGACACCGATGATAGTGCAATGTGCATTTTCTCGAGAATGAAATGTCTATTATCATTTCGGGAGAATAAAGCAGAGTTTCAATGGGTCGTGATTACTTGGATACTAATACTTGTTTGTGTTATCAATTGATAGTTAATCGGTGGAAAATCAATCGTGAGAATCCGTCAGCCCTCTTGAGATACGCTATCAGTCTAATCTTCAAGGAATTGTACTGCATCGGGCGTCCTACTGACACTCTAGCTTCTATCATGATTTTGCTATTCTTTTTTTCGTCTATTTTTATGCGGTACTCTGGTAGAATAATTCCAATGACGAATGGGCAATTAAAAAAATTAGGGATATTAGGAACTAGAAAATTAAAAATAAGGAGTCTTAATGAAATAATCAAGGAGTTAAGCCTCAAACACCGTTAAGTTCGTTCTGGATTTCCTGCAGTGTTTTTCCTTTAGTCTCAGGGACGAACACGTACTCAAAGACTGAAGCACCAATCATGATACCAGCGAATATCCAGAAGGTCACTGCAGCACCTAGACTTTCCTTCATGGATGGGAATGTTTTAGTGACGAGAAACACTAGAAACCAGTTGAGCATAACAGCTAGGCCTGATGCCACTGCTTTCGTTTCTATCGTGAATAATTCGGGCATCAACATCCAGGCGATTGGTCCTAGTCTAGAATTGACAAAAAAAACTTATGAAAAACCATTTTTTGTCTAATTTTCAACATAGATATGAAACTGCAATCACCGATTTGATCTTAAATTCAATTGAATTATTCGAATGCAAAGATTTCCAACAGTTGGTTGGAAAAATGAACGACTTACCCCACGGAAAAGGCGACCATGAAGAATGTCAAAGAGGTGATAGGTAGCCAGCCTAAACTGGAAACCTCGTCGCCGCTGTCTTTGATTTTGAAATAAATACCAAGCGCTATCAAACTGAGTCCCATCAGGGTTGAGGACAGAATGAGAAGGGGTTTTCTGCCGGCTCGATCGACAATTATCGCTGCGACTCCAGACATCACAAACTAGCGCGAAATAAAACAATTAGAAAATTATGTGCATCAAATTAATTGATTTTTAATTCTTCTGTTGTGTTCTTCGATTGTTTACGCACTTGAACCAGCGCCACGACAATGGCGGCAAGGGTGGGACTCATGCTGCTACCAGCAGCCTCGAAAATAGTAACAGTGTAGAATATGACAGCGTTGATGCCAGATAATTGCTGGAACATCATTACACCGAAACAGGCGAGAACAGCACGACGAGATCCTCTCGTTCTGATTAAATCGAAGACTGAACTTTTTCGGGATGCACTTTCCTCAGCCTCTCGCTGCATTTCCGCTAGTTCTTCGCTCGGGTTGTACCGGTCCCCTCGGAGGATTTTTAGGGCTTTTGTGGCGTCTGATTTTCTTCCTTGTCCCTTTACAGAGCAAGTCGACAAAATTTTAGCAGCTTATCTACGCATTTTTTAAAATTGAAATGTTCAATAGAAAATCCTCTGTAGAATTGAGAATTTTTCAATGAAAGACGAAAAAACGAAGAAAATTCTAATGATTTTATCTGTAAAATAATTTCCATTCGGCATTTTCTATTCTAAAAAAATATAAATGCAATGGCATTTGCTATCGAATTCGCAAAGTTTTTTTCAAGGAATTTGATTAATTACCAAGAGAACCCCTCGACGAATTGCTTTTGAGACAAATGTATAATCAACAAAATGGGATTTCTTATCACTAATTATTCCATAGTTGAATCACCTATTTCGTTTTTATTAAAAATAATAAAATAGCACTCACAACAAGCCAGGCAGGTGACTCTGGCATGAACAAAAAGCTCCCGATGAAGATGACTTCGATCAATGCGCAGAGAATACCAAAGACGGTGTACGACGTGACGGCCCCCAAAATGAAGGATATGAGGATTCCTCCTCCGAGAAATAGTTGGAACATTGCTCCAAGTGTTCCCCTGGCCGACGGCGATGCTATCTCCGCGATGTACGAGGGCACCTGGACGCAGGCGGCGCCGACAGCAATGCCGACGACGAAGCGAGCCACGCAGAGGACCCAAACACTCCTGGCGAGGATGATCAACACCCAGGAGACGAGGAAGGGCCCGGCGAGGAGGAGGAGAGCCTTCTTGCGACCCAGTTTGTCAGCCAGGGCTCCAGCGGGAAGGGCACCGACGATTGCCCCTATCGCCAGGAGGGAACTCACCCACGAGCCTTCCTCGTCGGACACTGGGAGGAAGGACGCTTCGTTGAGCGTGGGGAGGATCGGCGACGTCCACGCGAGGGCTGTGCCCACTCCGACCGCCAAAAAACTCGCTGGACATTCATTTTTATTATTTAGGGGATCGTTGACACTTGAGGTTTTGCATGGAATTTTTTCATTGCTGAGACCACTTGGACAATTCAGACGTTCGTTTTTTATATTGTTGTGAATTGCTAATCAATTACATTAGATCGGGAGCGAAGCGGTAAAACGATTCAAGTCTATTTTGACTATTGGCCAATTTTTGATGAATATCTCGAAATCTAAGGGAGATAGTAAAATTTTTGTCAGGACCTCTTTTGTAGCCCGGAGTTCGATCTATAAAAAAGGTCATTATGAAAATTTCGTTATCTAACTTAGATTCGGAGATATTCCGGGTGTCCTTCTTCTTCTTTTCTTGAATCTCTCATTTTTTTAATGAATATGTAATTAATTAATTCCACGAGTCTTTCAATATTCATAATTGGGGATCAAGTTAATCAATTGAGCTCACAGTGGGTTCATTACAAAGAGGGGAAGGTACTCATTAAGAAAAAAAATACTTTATCAACAATTGCATGAGGTTTCAACATTTGAAAAAAATTGTCACGTGTCCACTGGGTCCCTGGCCCGCTACATACATGGAACTAAATTAAAATTTCACGGATGGTCGAGTAAATATTTCCAGGAGACATTAAATTCTAATTAATGAGATAAAAGTTGTGAAGTTTCCAGTTGAGATAAGACGGAAATTTAGTAGCTTATTCGAATTTTTTTATGAGTATAAATATTCAGCGTCAGATTGAGTGAATTGATTTGCCGGAATTTTCACGTATTGAAAATTTTCACTGCAATTGAAGAAATTGAACTTTGTCTTTTGCATTGAATTTTGAATTCTTAAAAATTTGTTTGAGTCTGCAGATGATCTTGGAGGGAAGTAAACCTGGCATCTCATCACTCAACATGAAAAAAGAGCTAAAAATAATAGGCACGTATTTTTTGTGACGTCACAATGCAGATATTCCTCAAATTGACTGCAACTTCTTGATTTTTACAACAAAAAAAAATACACATCTAATACTTTTTACGTGATATTCATATTCTTCATCATTTCATTCAACAAAAATATGTGAATTCAATTGTAACTAAACTGAAGAAACAACGAATGCTCAAGAATAAGCTTCACTCAAATGTTCATCGATGAATAAAAACTATTGATAATTAATAAAATGTTAATTCAACAGGAATTCCTGCTGTTTGCCTCATCATTTCATTCAACAAAAAAATGTCATGCAACAATCGAATTCGACTGAAACCCAAGAAATAACGAATGCTCACCTGAACATGCTGCCAGGTACTGCCACAATTTTGCACTCTCCTGTTTGGCCAAAGGAGACGTAGTGCGATCATTCATCATCCCCGCAGTCTCCATCTCAATATAAAAAATCCTCACACCTCTTCTTCGGAATGCAGTCGGTTGGAGAAAAAATCGAGCGAAATAGCGCCGAGTCGCGTCCAGCGCGACGACCCCCTACCAAATTTCCCTCCTCTAAAACCCCAAAGAAATCCAAAAGATCCGTCTGTCACGGATATCGAGTCAATACTATCACTCCACCACTATCATCGATCCAAGTTATCTTGGCCAGCGGAAAATCCAATGAAAAAATTGGACATTGATTTGTTCGTAGAGGAAATGCGGGATGTGCACACCATCGCAGCGGATTGATAAAGTCACCTTTCAAGTGCTTTCAAACATTCCATATTTTTTTCCATAGAAAAGTATATTTGGCCGGAGTGAGGGGTAATGAGGAATTCGTCGTCAGCTATCCAGCCCGGGGCACCTAGTTTTATCGATTGTATTTACTCGTAGAATCTTTGAAAAAATAGGGAATACTTGGAGGTGTACTCAAGTCTAGTTTATCATTGTGCATTCAACGTTTGCCTTGCCTAGGCATCACAATTCGTCATTGGAATCAATGGACACACGTTTGCTCTCATGTATTCTTTATTTTTATCTTATAAAAAAGAAAAAGAATTTTAACAGAGGAGAAATAATCACTAGGAGTTAATCATTTCCCATTGGACATGAAAGTCCAGTCTTATTTTTCATTAATTCGTGTGAGCCCTCAAATTCCTTCTGGTTTTCTCCCTGGGAATCACTCATTAAATCAAACTATCTTATTCGCTAATAAGGCCCTTACATACTCGATATGAAAACATGATCATTCTAGTGGTAATACTCGCGCATCAATCTCTTCCCTTACAACAAGTTTAAGCACAAAAAAACTGGTAGAAAAAGATGACTTAAATAATTGTAGAAAACACATTGTGACATGGAAATGGACTAAAAACAAAAATGTCTTGGCAGTGGTCCAATAAAATGAATTAAACTAATTACAGCTGCACGATTATTTCTTTGATCGTATAAAATAAATGCCTACGATTTTTTTTTCGTCATGATAAAAAGAAAATATGTATAATTGTTCGTATGATTAATCGATTGGGAGATTCGCTGGGTTTGGACGCGATTTTCAATATCTCACTAATACCTACACTGGCATAATCTTCAATTATAATTCCTTTTTTGATTTCTATATTTTGAGTAATCTCGAGTATGTAAATATCAATTTACCAGTGTCAGTCGTGTTAACGAGCTTGTATCGCCTGGCTGATAATTTAGCGATGAGTGATCTTACATCGGCCTCACTTTGATGATTACTAGTTCGAATCGAGAGAACTGATATTCGTATGATATCCCAGGGAATTGTGTCAAGCACCTAGAAATAAACATGCAATCATTTTGTTGAATTATGGAAATTTTGTGAGTTTTCAGATGAAAAAGTATTATTTTTCTGTTAAAGTATTCATCAGCTGCGAATAAATTTAATAAAATGTCATATTACCTGACTATCGGAAGAGTCAATGCTATCCAGACTGAAGTAATCAATGGCTGTTTGATTGTAAGCAAGAAGTAGACTGTAAAGTGGGAAGCACTTGAGCCTCATCGTTGGGAGACCCTCATCAGAGAATATCAAACTATTTGGACCTTCGCTCAGCTTGGTAACTCGCACCTCTGACTCTTGGTGATACGTAATCTGTTGCATGAAATTCGAGTCACAAGAGTGGAAAAAAAAGTTGACAAAAACGCTTGAGAAAGCATCACTGAAACCAAGAGCTGAAGAAAAATGATGTTTTTACCTCTTTGGTGTCTTTGTCGGTGCTCAAACAGGCATGGACAGCGCGCGTCCTTGGATTCCTGAAGCTCTTGCGCGCTTCGAAGAACGATCTAAAGTCGGTAAGTACGAGTAATCCACGCCATCCGTAATGGGCCTCCAACCAGGAGCTCGTCGAGATAGCACCGGCGTGATTTATGTATTCCAGATAAACTCCATCACGCTTACCCTTGAAGAAATTCACCAGGAATTTCTCCTCGGGTGTTTCAGTTATATTGTGGAGCTCCTGGTTCGTTGGCTTCTTGAAATGCACCTCTCGAATGTATGTTACTAGCTGGGGATTATCCATTGAAACACCGAATACGTAATCTCTCGTCATGTTAGCATCGAACGCTTGTCTCCTGTGGAATTGATAACAGAGATGATAAAACGTAATGAGAGGGGTGTGATTGTTGTGGGGATTACTCAATACCGAATGATTGCGGATGAGAATGTAAAAAAAATTTTGTTTACATTTGCTCTTTTATTTCTTTATTCAACGAGGAATGATTTTAAAGACGAATGTTACGTCACCTTCGCATCCCTTGAAATTCGCGAATATATTAGCGTAGTAATCTCCAATAAAATTACCTCTGTGCAGCTGCCTCACTCCAAATGAGCAAAAGAGCCATCGCCGTGGAAAATGCCGCCAAGAACGCGAGACATGGAGCAACACGACGCAACCAAGTCTTCTTTATTTCCCCAGGTAAAGGGACTGAGGCTATTGGTAACGTGGCTGTACCACCGGCCACCGATGGTATTACTCCTGCACCTGTCATCCTGCCACAAAAAATTGTTTCAGGGGACACGTGAATTTTATTGTTTTCTCGTGATCCAGAGGTTATCAAAGTCCATTTTTTTCGGGAGAATCAACTCACTTGCCCTCAATTCCCTTAGAAACCTCCAGTGTGACGATTGTTTACTCCTCGTTTGGTGATTAATTCGTCTATTGTTACACCTATAAGAATTCAGAAAATTCATATTTTATTCAGAATATAATATTGGGTGTGGTAATTAGTTTGGAGGGGTTTTTAGATTGGACTTCTCCAAAGGATATTCGATTTAATCACCAAAATTCTGTCTGTTGCCAGGAAATGATAAACAGTTGCAGACAGCGATGGACGATACGCTGATTAAAATCAAATACATTTTTTGTTCAAGAAGAACAGCTCTTTTCACTGAAACATCCTTTGAAAATAATTACCACACCTAATATTTTCTAGTTTTGGTGTCGGTGTTTGCAGTCCTAGACGCCAATCGTCCTCATTCTTCTCGTGTTTGATTGTTCCATGGGGGACAATGGTGTCGAATACTCAATTGTTTACAGTTCATCGGAATGGAGCACTCCACTTCCTCTGGGCGGTCGGACGGTCGAGTAACCGTTGAATTCATAGACAACTGGATTTTTAATCCTTCAATTGATAATTATCATTACTCACCTGACTACGGGTTCTCACTGGGACAGCTGCTGCTTTCCCCGATCCTTCATGAAAACCAATACCTTTGTAAACACAGAGGCACAGAGAGAATGTCCTTTCGACGCTACCACCGTTTACATTATTCCCTATTTCGCAATTCGCTGTTCTCTGAGTGGGGCTTATGAGCTACCGACGTCTGCAACTCGGAGGAATGCTGAGCACATGTGTTCCTCAGATGGATGAGTAATACTATTATATGGGGGAGATGTGAAGTGGAGAGAAAAAAAATGAGAGGAGGGCGAGGGAAGGACGACAATGCGATACTCGCTCGGAGAATCTCCGATGTGCTCCGATGTTTGCGAGAGGTTGAAATGAAAGTTACTAGATGCATGAAGTTACTATACGGGGATGAAGAGGGGTGACAAATATTTTTTTTTCTGACATTTATAAATTTCTGAACTTTATGAGGGGAGGAAATATCTCTTCAGCGAATGTTGTGAGAGATGAGAATATTTTTCAGACTTTGGAGAACACTTGATATATTTGAGGAATTGTTTCAGGTCTTCTTCAGGTTTTATAATTTGATTGGCAGTCATATTATTCTGGTTCAATCAACAGCTCTATCCATTTTTAAAACCCGATTATTTGAGAAGAACATGTTCAACTGCCCTCTATGCACTGCGGCAACGATATTGGGCCTTCAGATGGAAAAAATCAAATTCGAAAAATAATTCTTCAATGTGTTGCATATTGCACCCGAGCCACTACAGACCGAACCCATCAAACAAAAATATAAAACAAAATAAGAAACCTCCTCACTTGTTACAATTGAATCCCTTTATTAATGAATAAAAAATTGATTTTCCAGAATATCTCACTGATTTTTGGAAATCCACGTCATTAGAACACCCCGATATAATAGAAATCATCAGTGATTTCTATTATATCGAAATTTGACGATAAATTCCTGAAGATCAAGACGTTTTCCTGAAAATGATCAACAATGTCCCCAAAAATAAGTGATAAAATCATTAAAATCCCTGATAACTGGGAATAGATCTCTGCAAATCATTGGCAATTCCCTGAAAAACAGAGCTATTTTTTCTCCGTGAAAGAACATGGCGCGTTGAGGACCGCTTATTACTCTGAGAACGATGGTTGCATTTCGAATCTTCATGGAAACTAATAAACGTGGAAGAAATTCGTTAAACAATGCGCGCAGACGCATATCCGCAGTTAAATCCACATTCATCGGTGAATGTTTATGAATGTAATTCTAGGACGCAGACTCGTGCATCGCCTTGCGCCGGCCGAGGAGTGTCCCGAGGAGGCGTCTCAACCTCCACCACAACAATCCTCTGTCAATTAACTTCACTCCTTGTTTTTCTACTGTTTTTTATATCATTGTGTAGAGAAAAAGAGAAGCTGAATGTCAATAGTATGCTCCATCTGTATATAGCGTGCATTCTCGTGATAACTAGTGAGTGAGTTATACTTCTTGGACGCGCAGACGACAGCCCACGGTGTATCATGGTTTTAATTGACAAGTCAATTGTATTAATACCGAGATAATGCGAAAAGTTCATGTGTCGGGGGAATGACGTTCATCGATTCACTCGTAGAACGTTGTTATTCTCAAACGTACGACGGCCGCTCGCTACAATGGGTGGAAATCACTCGAGGAGCTTTCCGACTCCTGGGGAAGATGGTGAGAATCATAATACAGCATTTTTTAATATTTATTAGGGCGATTGCATTACAATTGTTCATGCAATTGTAAAGCAACCGCCCTATTTTTGTATGAATTGTATTCATTAGAATTGTTTCGTAGCAATTACACTGTAGATTCGATCATTTGCATGCACAAAGAGTTGATTATAATGTATTATAATTACTTTGGAAGTTGCTTTTTACAAATTTCTAACATTGCTCAGTTTAGCCATATTTTAAGGCACTTTAATATTTTTTTTACTAAACACAAAACTGGGATTTGAAATCAGCGCGAAAATATCCGTGGGATTAAATAGCCCGTATTATTGAATACTCATACTTTAAATTCATGGGTTTTCAGGTTGAAAAAATCGTAAATGTAAACATAATGATTTTTTCTCTTTTGTAGTGAATTTTGATCACTTCCAAATTCTCCGAGCAATCGGCAAAGGGAGTTTTGGTAAAGTCTGCATCGTCGAAAAGCGAGGAAAACCAGGGCAAATGTATGCGATGAAATACGTCCGTAAAACTGAATGCGTCGAGAGAGGAGCACTCCGGAATGTTCTTCGCGAGGTTGAGATTCTCTCTAAATTAGAACACCCCTTCCTCGCGAATCTCTGGTTTAGCTTTCAAGGTAGAAAATTTTTAGGCATTTCAACTCTTGCGCAAGTATTACAAAGTTTCGTTACAGATGAGGAAGACTTGTTCATGGTGTCAGATCTACTGCTGGGGGGCGACCTGAGGTTCCACATTCAAAAGAAAGTTCATTTCACAGAGTCGAGTGTCGTTCTCTTTATCGCTGAGATTGGCCTGGCACTGGACTATCTCAGGAGTAAGAAAATCGTTCACAGGGACTTGAAACCGGATAACATACTGTTGGACGAAGAAGGTGGGTGGGTTAATTAATGTCAAGGTATTTACATGAAATTGCTGTGAATTTTGCGGTTCACAGCAATTTCGTTCTTTCTGATGTTTTATTCGCAAAGTTTTTGATAGGTATGAGGTTGACTGTAATGTCAACTGAAGTCTGTTCATTAAAAAACAATTGTTCTTGTATTTTCTTTTCATTTTTCCATGCACGAAAAAGTACAATAAACAGGGATATTATTCGTGTTTCTCTTTGATTGTATGCAGACGGAAATTAATTAATTGCCATTGATGGGGAGTGGTTTTACCACTCGACCCATTGGGAAAATATTTATTTTAAACCATTATTTATTGGGTTAAAGGGCATGCACACGTTACGGATTTTAACGTGGCAACTACTCTGGAAGAAAATCAATTGGCGACATCGGTGTCAGGAACGAGGCCCTACATTGGTGAGGGTTGAATGATCTGGCTAACAATTCACGAGATATTATCCCCATTCACTATAAGAATAAACAATCTTTAGTCTATTTTGGTTTGATGGAAACAGATTGGCTTGAACGGTTGTCAGCACTTTTAGGGTGATTGATTAATTGAAATGAAGGGAATAATTTTCCATCAAACCAATAGGAAATGCTCCAATGAGAGAATTAATTTCTCCATTTGAATAATAGCTCCAGAAATCTTCATGTGCACCTGCGATTCCTCTGGGATTCAGGGGTACAACTACTCGGTAGATTGGTGGAGTCTGGGTGTCCTTGCGTGGGAAACTCTCGAAGGAGTCAGACCATTTCACGTCCTCGCACATGCAACACATTCAGAGGCTCTCCGCATCATGCAGGTGGGTCTGAAAGTGCCTATTTATATTTCCTCTTCCAGCAACACTTTTGTAAACCGTCGAGTGGTTTATTATCTCTATAAATAACACACAACAAAGCCGAGGAGGAAAGTAAAATAGTGATATAAAATACGGAGAGGAGTAAAATAGGGGAATTGGGTCAGCTTTAAAATGCCACTTGTGGGTTGGATTTCTCACTCAATGGAGCTTTAGTTTGAAAGATTGCTTCCATGGAAAAGAACAATGTTTCTTGTGCGTTGGTTGCTGGGGAGAAAAAAAATCCTGGTAAAACCTAGCGAATTCTATTGGATTCGTATTCGAATTGGGTTTTATCAACTATTATTAACACAAGATCGGATTTAAAGTAGAGTGGAAAAAACGTAGAAAATTCATGACGAGGAATTCCCACAGAAAATGTGAAATTGTGGTACTCAATTCAAGTTCTGATATGTTTATTATCGTGTATATTATTTTTATTACCTTATGTTTGCGGTTCGCTGAATGGAAACGGTAAAGCTTTACCCCCTTTTAGCACATGTGTAAATGGAATAAAAAATCAAGAGGAGAATGATTAAATATTTAGGATGGCAGACCAATACCCCCCTTAGAGTGGAGCAAACCAACGGTGAGCCTTCTAGAGTCTCTCCTGACATTTGATCCGAAGAATCGTCTGACCACACTGGAGGACCTCCAGAAGACCGACGCCATGCTTGCCTTCGATTTCGACCAAATTCTCAAGAAGCAAGTGAAACCCATGTTCACCCCATCGAAAGATCATCTGAATTGTGATCCAACATTCGAACTCGAGGAGATGATCATCGAGACCAGACCCCTTCACAAGAAGAAGAAGAGACTGGCCAAGCAGAGGTCACTGAGGTGTCAGGAGATCACTGAACAGACTGAGTCGAGTTTGGCGAATGGAATTGATACAATTAAACTTGCCTTTATACCTGAATATCTAGTTTATAATAGGGAACGTGAAATGGAGCGAAGGGAGAGGGAGGCCAAGGAGGCAGAGTGGGAAGAGGAGCTCAGACGAGCTATGGCGCATGCTGAAACCAAACTCAGGTAATTATTATCTCATGGCAATCGAAGATAAATATTAGTTCAAATAGATATCTCCAGTCGACTATTTCGATAGATCAATTGCATGAAAAATTAATTTTTTCTCGTCAAAAAAAAATTCCGATAATAAAAGGAAAAAAATCGAGAGGGTTCAATGAATTTGTAAAAATGGTATTTTTTATAACATTACGAAAGTTTTGAGGGCAAATTGGAAAAAGTTTCTCGTGGTAATTGTTGGAGTTAATTAATGGAGTTGAATTGGATATTGGAATTATGTTGGGAATAATATCTGTGGAATTACTGAGGAAATTTTCACTTGCAGGGAGACTGATGTCGACAAACTCCGCAAAAATCGCCTGAGTTTTCGCTCGCGTTTCGAACATGTATCTTCGCGGAAAAATAAACAACCTGAACAGGCACATTCACTGGATATTGACTACATTGATGTCACCCCTGAATCGTCTACCTCTTAAAACCAAAATCGTAGCTGTGAATGTATTTTTGATCTCTAAGAACCAAAAAAAAAAACTTGTAAATACTCTATTTAATAACGATGATTTTGTAGTGGAGGCACATTTTTAAATTGAGAGAATTATTCAAATGCGAATGACTGTTCGTAAATTTAATAAAATTGTTTTTGATAATGAAACAAGAAAATTAAGTGGAGGCAACTGTTGAATGAAAGTATAAATGCTTTATTGCATTGAAACATAGAAAAGAGGAACAAAATAATGGAAGGATGGAGTATATGCGTTTTGTTATCACACCGAGTGATTGCGTTAACTTTATATCTTAAATATAAACTGTAATTATTGTATGGTAACACAGAATTACTATGTGTCACTCATAATTGTGATAAAAATCATTACAATTTTTAAAACTAAACGAAAAAAAACTAACGCATGATATAATGTATATGTTAATATCACAAAATACGGGTACTCGTCATTATCAAAATTCAATTCGCGAATTAATGAAGAACGACCAACGACAGATGTTGGAATAAACCCGCAGTTACAATACATAAATTATATTTTCTACACTCAGTTTATATAATCCTTTGAGAATTTTAATTTTTTAAGAGAGCAATATTTGTGTGAAAATATTTTTATTCCTCAAAAAATAGATTTCACAATATTTTAAACTCTTTCTGTTATTAATCTGATTAATTGAGCATTATAGCACGCTACGCATCATCTTTTCTACTCTGATTGTGAAAATTAGAAACGAAAAAAAAGTAGATAAACGTTTTTAGACGTTATAACATAAGCACCATTGAAAAAAAAAAAATGTTATCCGAAACTTTTGGCATATTTTAAAGAGCTCAATCTCAAAATGATCACTCTGGGAAGACCCTAGTTATTGATAAGTTAAGCATGAATTTTCAGTCATTTTATACGACTCTAGCATCCACAAGAAGCAAACTTACGCCTGTAACACATGTGGAATACGTGTTGAATAAACCAAAAAGTTATTTTAAAAAGAAGAAGAAAATGTTAGATTGACAATTAAACGGCAGTAACATCAGTTATTTCAATCCTAGTAATTGGTTTGGCAGGTTCAACGATGATATATTCACCATCTACGTCCTTCGATACCTCACCAATACGCAATTGTTGTAGATTAGCAACAATCGAGTCAACCTGGACAGGTTCATTTGGCACTGAATTCTTATTTCTTAATTTACCAAAGTGAAGATAACAAAATCCACGCTGTCCACGCCACGTTATGTCTGTTGGCCTAACTCCACGCTCTGTCAGGGCATTTTTTAAATCACGAACTCTCACATCTGATCCAATATTTGACAGTTTCAAGGAAAAATCAATGACAGACCTTGACCTGTATTTCATTTGTTTACGACGCTGTGATTTCTCTGGTTTCTCATTGTTCTGGAGGAAAATTAACACTTTGTTAACAACAATAAAGCTGCATTACTAAATATCAATGAGTGTTTTTTTTGTTTTTGACCTACCTCATCCTCTGGAGAATCATTTTTCTCACTTCTTCTGGACTTTGTTCGACGTTTCCTCACTGAAAGATTCTTCCCATCCTCATTCTCCTTGTCCTTATTCTCCTCTTTGTCAGGATTATCTTTATTGTCTTGTGCAGGGGATTTTGATCGTTTCTTGTCTCTCATTTTTCTGGAAAAATTTCTGCCAAATCTCTTTCGTCTCTGGTGATCCTTTGGATCGTCTGGCTTGAGAATTATCTCGTCTCCTGCTCTATTTACAAAGAAAATTAAATTAGTGAAGATAGAGTGAATAAATTGATGCAATGGCAATGGTCAATGGACATTGAACAATTACTTGTCATCCAATTCCTTAAGTTGCTGCAGGATTTGCATGGACTTGACCCTCCTCAAAGTCAGAATATCCCAGAAAATGCCCTCAGGTTTCTTCAGCCTCTCACTAACAACAATTGTCTGTGTCGGTGTGACTATGATATCCACAGGTACGTCGTGCTTCTCGAATAATCTTGGTGGCAAATCGTCGACAATCTGGCAATCATGAACAGTTGTGACAACAATTGTGTCCTGATTGATAGCCCCCATCCTCATCATCATGGCAAACTCGAGATCAGCGAATCCCTCGCCCTTTCCAATCCTGTGCCCCAAACGACTGACGCAGACAGCCCCCATCACCACCAGGTCCACCTTGATGCCTGCATCAATACCCAAAGGCTTTCCATGCTTCGACAATTCCTGTCTCGATGTGAAAGACTTGATGTCAATCCCCTCCTGGTTCTCAGGGGGCGTAACATGGAGGAATAATCCTGCCTTCAGCCGAGGAATTGGAATCACAATCTCCTTGCCAGCCTCCAGTGCCATCAGCTTCACAGGCTCCTGTGGCTTGTCTGGATTTAATTTAATGACTTTAGCATTTTTGAACGCCTGTAGCTCGCTCAGACGTTTCGCAGCATCCTCTGCACCCTTGAAATTTGGAATATTTGGCTTTCGTTTGTAATTATTGGCTGGGAAACTGCCATGACCATTTTTCTTCATCTCTTCACATGTGCTCTGGCGATACGTCTCTTTTGTTACTTTCTCAGCTATGAAAATCATATCAGTATTGTTTAACATGTGAATATTGCATGTTGCGAGTGTGCAATTCCTGAAAAAATGTCCATTATTCGCGATAGATACTTACGTTGCTCTTCGTCAGACATGATTTATTTCCCTTCTCTCTTTTACAAATCACAGATAGGTTGAGGGTATGTCGTCCGAATAATTATGAATTGCTAAGTAAAAAAACTGTGCACGAGTCAACTCGATGCACTTTTATTCTCCTCTGGCTCTCGTACTACCAAAAATGTTCATATATTTTTCTATTCTGTTTTTTTTCTCACTGACTGACGACATGGGATCCTTGGATCCACGGCGGCCATTAGTGAACTGCCAAAAGTCCCTAGTGGAATTTGCGGTCACGTGATATCGAGACGGTGGCGCTACTGGAGAGCGCGGGGATTTTAAATTAAAGGCGACGAGATTGGAGTTGCGGATTTATAATTATAGTTTCGCCGCAGCTGAACCAGTTAAAATGGCGTTTACCTCTTTATTTAGCTCGCGAGTGCGAATGTAAAAAATTGATTCAACATGGTTTGCTCAACTAATTAGATTATTGAATGTCAATGATGTCCTGTGGATATCGACAATTCACCGTGCAATTAAGTCTGCAGCACATATCGATGGTCAAAATCGGGCAGCAATTGTGGAAGCAAGCAGATATTATCGATCAAATTAAGAAACTTTTTCACGAAATTGAATGCGATTCAGGTGGACCTTGGGATTTTCTGGAATGCGCGTTTAAAAGTGTGACTAATTATGCGATTGCCAAAATCAATGAATTGGTGTTACCAGAAGTAATGAGAAGTGATGTCGGATACTGTGTCACAGGTATGGGGCGGACAATGTTCAGGTGGCTGAGGGACACTCTGAGAGATATGATTGACAATCGCGATAATAATTGCATGGCAAAAATTTCGTACTTCATCGAGAATGTCTCATGGAACGGTTTCGGATGTGTCGATGGAGAGAAAATATTTAGAAAATATGTCGGGAATAGAGGTGCTGTGGATAATGCCACTTGGAGTCAGTTGTGCGGCTACTGTATCGAAGACTATATAAAAAAATATTCTGGAAGCATAGATTGGAACAATTATCGTGACATCAACTCAACATTCACCGTGTTCTGGTACCACGAAATTCACGGAAAATTCCCAACCGAAGGCATGTTTTCCTCAGTCGTTAAGAGAATGAAATTTGTTTTTGAATACAATAAAGGGAGATACGATGAAAATTCCATCATTGGGACTCTTCTTGTGGAGAGTGTAATCGAAGGAAATATCTCAGCAGTCAAATATTTTTGGAAGAGATTGAGTGACGACGAGAAACATCAATTGATCCTCACGAGGCTGGGATCAATTTTCATTCAGTGCGACAAAGATTACTCTGAGGTTTACATTTATTTGCTCGGGGAAATGTGCGACGAACAACTGAAATTTTTCTTAGAGAAGAATTTCCGAATTCCTGAAGGGATGATTCTGAATGACTGGCCTTGGATCTTGTGCATCAACTCGTGGGGGCATTTTTTTGAATTCTGCAGGGGAACTCCACTCTTCTGGCGCATTCTGGTTTCCACCTTCAAGAAGATGAAGTGTGAAATTAAGGAATTTCAGGCGAGGAAGTACAAGGGAGTTCTTTATAACAAATATCGTCAGTTCTTTGAAGAACTCTGGGAGATGCGTCCAGAGGGTCTTCATCGCGAAGACATCAAACTCTGCGGGATCATCTTCGATGAGGGAAATGAAACGAGGAAAATTCATGCCAGGAAATTGAAAGACTTGAATGACGATTACTTGAAAGAGTTCATGGACGAAGTAATGGCAGATGACGAAGAGAACATTCTTGAAGAAAATATACGATTATAATCCGTTGAATGACTCCGGAAAGTTTTACGAATGCGTGGAGTAAAGTAAGAGATGAAATTAGTTTTTTAATCCATTGCGGTGTCAAGTTCACGAAACTATAAATTTTTTAAAAAAGTTCACCGTATTCTGAATTTATCATTCTACAACGAATTCTTTTTTTGAGAACATCGTAAGAACCGTTCATTTCTCATGAGTTCCGGGGGATCCATGAACTCGATTTTCCAATAGCTAGGGAAGATTATAAACATCATCTACCACAAACATGGAACAATCGTCATAAAAACCTGTTTTCTAGGAATATACCTTAAAAGAACCCATTTTTTCCGCTTTACGTAAAAGTGAACAATTACAATTAGAAATATCGGCGCAAATTATACGATAAGTTGGAATAATTGAGGTGATATGAAGACAATGTCGAAATGCCTGCAATTTACAGGACTTGCTATCACGAAGGCTTTGGCTATAAATAGCGGAACAATATGAAGCATATCCAAGTTAATTCATTTGAAGCTCGTCAGGTGACAATTTATTTCCGGAATTCAACGCAACTTATTAATCACTATGAGGAAGTCTCAACTGAAACTTTCGGTGACTTTTCTGGTGATCTTGATAATCAATGTCGCATTATCCAATGGAAGCGTGGGTAAGAATCTGAAATTTGTCAAGTGGCAAAAACCATTGACGCATTTTTTTTTCCTTAAAAAGACTCTCTTCAACCTGGTGTTTCCCACGACTGAATTAAATACTTCGCCTTTGAATCTCATGTAGACTATAACTTGAAATTTTTTGATTGAATTCAGTAGCGAAGTGGTAAAGCGGTATAAGTCAGTTTTAACTATTGGCCAGTTTTCGATGAATATCTCGGAAGCTAAGGGAGATAGAAAAATTTCAGTTATAACCTTTTTTGTAGAGCCGATTGAGCGCTACAACAAAGGTAATTACGAAAATTTCGCTATTTCTCTTAGATTCGGAAATATTCTTCAAAAACTCAACTAGGAGATGAGTCGACTTGAACCGTTTTACCACTTCGCTACTGAATTATTAATTATTATTTATAGTATGTCAAAAAGACGAGGATTGTCAAGAGCCACATGTGAAAGAGGATTGTATGGCCGAATACCCAAACATTTATACTGGCCAGCCGAGAACTTGTACATGGAATGCTGGACCTATAATGTACTGCCATTGTAATGTTTTCAATGAACAAGTGACGTCCCCAGGAGGGCGTCGATGATAATATCAGACCGTGAGGAATTGGCATAATAATGTGCAATTTATCAATTCATATTCCGGGGGCTCGTTAATAAACGATGATCAATTGATAAACAACGAAAACTTCAGTTATTCAATTCCCCTTTCTTCCCATATTGCGCATATTTTTTATAATATAAAAGATATTATCTGAGTTAAAAATCCTTATGAGAGTTCGAAACCGATATTGAGCGACTTTTGATATATGATGAGACCTGTTTAAAAAAAAAAAAAGAATATGTGAAAATGCTGCCAGTCACTACCGCCCGCTGTCGGAATTTCTCTCAACTGTACTCACCGTCAATGCACTGACTTTCGCTATTAAAATTTTCGAATTGAATTAACAACTTTATTTATCATCCATTGAACGGCCTCGTCAATTCGTAGGTCAAGACATGCATTTTCATTATTATATGGAATAAAAACCCACACGAACAATCATCTGTGGAAATTAGCCATGGAAGGTCGAATGATTGAAGCGATATGCACCAATTTTACCAAGGCGAAGTGTCGATTGTATAACTTGTTGTCACGTATATTTTTCCTTATAAATAGTGACAATTTTTCGAGAAAGATTCATTCAAGTGGTCATTTTCAAGCCATCGACGAACCACATTTGCTTATTCTATAGTGAATTCAATTGCGACTATTTTGTACATCATAATGAACAAGTTCCAGCTGAAGCTTTTTGTAACTTTGCTGATCGTGGTCATCATCAATGTCTCCTCATCCAGTGCACAATTCTGTGAGAATTAAAAATTTTTCATGTTGTCCAAATAATTGTTTCTAACGAATTGACATGTATTTTAGAGGAATTTAAAAAGAACCGAGTTATATTTAATTCCTGAAAATGTGACTGCTATCAGGGTACTATACGGATCCCTCATCAAATTTTCAAGTTTCAAATACATTAATAGCGATCAGGCTCCGATAATATATTAATTCATTATTATTAATATATATTAATATGATAATATATAATATAATAATAGTAATATGATAATATATATTATTATTAATATACTAATTTATTATTTATTATTAATTTTGAAGTGATAGTCCCAATACTTAGAGTTCACGAAAAAAGGGCCCGTAAAGTATACAAATACCCTGTAACTTGCCTGTTGTTCATTGAATACTTAATTTGTGGACTGCAGACTGTTCAACTGATGACGATTGTCAAGGGGATGAGGCAGAAGCCGACTGCATCGATTATTACGGGGCTGACGTCTACACGGGCCAGCACAGGACATGCACATACGAGATGCAGAAAGGGCTCACTTGCGAGTGCAATGTTTACGGTCATGATCATGATCGTGATCATGATCATGATCATGATCATGACTATGATTATTATCACCACAAGTGAATGAGAAGAAGTAAAATATGGGTATTTGAATTGTCAATATTTCAAGTTAAGAGTGATAAAAAGTGATACTCTACTGAAAACTATTCCTCATTTGTCCGAGATTTTTTAATTATACTCAGGCCCTTTCCGGAGTTCCTCTATCCTGCTTTTCATCATGACTCTTGCGATCGAAGTAGGTCTTTAATTCAAATGTATTTGCTCTTAAGAAGCTCAATTCAGTAGTAAAGCGGTAAACCGAGTTAAGTCGATTTTGACTATTAGCCAGTTTTTGCTGAATATCTCGGAATCTAAGAGAGATAGCAAAATTTTTCTCATGACTTTTTTTATAATGCTTTATTAGCTCTACAAAAAAGGTCATGACAAAAATCTTTCTATCTCTTTTAGTTTCCGAGATATTCGTTAAAAACTAGCCAATAGTAAAAAACGACTTAACCCGGTTTACCGCTTCGCTACTGAATTGTCAGACGACATCAGCGAGATCAAAGTGAAAATGTTTATTCCATCCGCTGTGAAACGCGCTTTATAACATTCATAATGATGTTCCTGTAGGGGTTGCAGTCTGTTTCTTGCATTCAAATTTCTTCAACTCGCACTTCTTCACTAACCATCAGCTACCGCCCACTATCGGAGGTTCCCTCAACCCAATTATAAAATCACTTATCCGGAGCAGTATTACATCGATCCTGCAGGCTTTATCAAATATGAATTTGAATTATTCTTTCGAGTACACGGAGAAAAAAGTTTGCTCAGAATTGCATTATTCTTCTACAACAGTATCGTGATTCATTTTCTCTTCATTTCCACCCAGAAATTTAATAAAAATTCGTAGATAAATATCGCATGAGAAATCTTGTTCCTGATTAAAGTAAATAATCTCCCACTCAAGAATACAATTAAACTTTTCAGTATTTTTACGTAGATGTTAACAGAAATAACGATCTGTAAAAAAACCACTCTTCTTCTCAATAATTTCCTAGTAATTTCTGCTCTCAGAGCACGATAACGATCTTCAGTCATTCCTCAACAAAAAATAGAACCTGAAACCGCCCCCGCGCGATAGCATTGTTGCATCACTAGACGGTTACTCAACTGAAATCCTTGCGAATTCCCCACTCAGCGCACAATACCTGTGCCCTCCAAAAAAAAATATCCAATGGAAGATGGGAGAAACCATCTCGGTCGTAAGATAATTTCGGTAATCCGAGAAAAGGACTCGGCTATTCCCATGAAATAGTATTTCATTTTTTATGACATTGGAGAGAACTATTTATTATAGTTGCACTGGGATTAAGATCAATTTACGACCTCTTTGAGATTAGAACGTTCGATTTCGGCTCTTCTTTAGCTGGTGGGTTGTTCATTGCTCCGACCGTTACGAATTTTATCAGTGTAAACATTGAGCCTGTCCGACAGTCCTGCGACCGCGTGAACGTCGAATTGTTTCTGGGGACATTATCTCCACCCTTGCAAGAGCACCTTCACTTCCGTCTCGGAATGTTGCAGTTGTTTTCTGCAGTTTTATCTCGAAATTTTATTTTCTTTCCGAAGATAAAGTGTGTTTGGTTTTACCGCCAGGTGCATAAAAGTGCGTTTAGGACGATTTTTTTATTCCGACGTATTGGAATTATTGTTGCATTCACAGGACCACCAGGGCTTGCAACGACTTGGAGATCCTCTCGAGGCTGAAAGAGTTTAAGACGCAATATATTTTCTCGAAGGTCGATCTTTGGTCAACCAGTATAACTGTACCACCAAGAAGCTATTCGCTAGGACAGTGGGTGAGCGTTACAACGGTGGACTGAAAGGGCTGAGGATATTTATGGGTTGCAGCTGATCCCAAACTGTGATGCTCTCCATTCTGACCATTTTTGTACGGTTTTGAGGGTGAAACTCCCATTGGTTTTACACAATGATGGGTATCTATCTAAATGAACATCCACGTGGCCTCCAAAATGAATTTCAGGAACTAATTTTTTTTCCTCTGCCCCTTTACCTTTTTTTTCTGCTCATTGTGGGACATATTGGGAAAGCGTGGGAGGCAAGAATTTCAAACTGGATGGAAATTCTTTTGGTGGAAAAAATGTAAATTCTTTATTCATTAATAAAAGCATCCAGTGCTCTAGATATTTTTTTACCTCTAGATTTCTCATTTCGCTCGATCAATCTGTTTTTCCAAAAATGTACTTGCTCTGCATGCATCAACACCCCGAGAAATCGACAAAAAAATCGCTCGGGCGAGTTAATTGAATGTCGAAGCCCGAGAAAATTGTAAAGACATGTTTAGACTCTTTCATTCACTGTAAACATTTTCTCAAATTGCCACCTCTTTGAGGAGAACTCTTTCGAAAAGGAAGGGGCTATGAAAAACACGTTTCCTTTCATCGAATGGTCTCATCATGTAATCGTATTTGTGGCTGCAATGCTCGTTGGAAATAAAACCCTTTCATCGAGGCGTGCAGTTGATCACCAGGGGTGCCGGCATATAGAGTGCGTGAAAAGAGTTTGGAATGAAAAAAATGCTCGAAGAAGTTTTCTTTGATGAAGCTGCGACACCCGCATCAGCCGGTCCTTCGGGATATTCGAAGGTGGTAGCTCGTGAAACGCGATCAGGACTTTGTCCTACTGGGATATTGACGTATTTTGGGTTAGTCCCTCATGCATCGGAGGGTGATGCTTCGGTTGGACGATGAGGAATACTTTATTCGGATCGAATAAATATTTTTTCGCAAGTGTTTATTACAAGAGAAGACATTGAAACAACATTGAAAGATTTAACTCGTCGTTTTACGTTTTTTTGTATCGTTACATGCACGAAAATATTTCAAAAAATATAAAAAGTTGGATCGGAAAATAAAAATCTACAAATTTTGGAGATATTGGAGATGTGTCTGCGCGTGTATGCAACCCATCTTCATTGCTTTTAATTGCTAGAATGAGAATTTCGTTAAAAAAATTCTCAGTTGAGGAATTGTAATTTTGGTTGAAAAAATTCCAAGAATGATCGAACATCATGTTCTTTTGAAATCGCGTTATACGGATGATCAGGATCCTCTGTCGAACACGTTCAAGAGCGAACAAAAAAATTATCGGAACGAAAGGCCCTCCGGTCTCTCTCCCTATCTCTCAACCGGTCAACACGTTTTTTTCCTTATTTTTCTCTCTTTCTGAATACCTGGAAGTCGTATCCAGACGTATCCGCGAGGGTCATGTCCGAGTCAGAAACCATGTGCTGCAGGCCCTGGCCCTGAAAAGCGGACGCCTGATTTATCGTTAAACGGTCAAGGAAAAAAAACTTTTAGACGTGCGACAAACCAGAGCAGAAAACGCAACCCTTACCTAACCCAAGGCGAATAGCCGGTAGACACCCGGGGTCCTGAGGAGTATGCTGGCTTTTTCAAATCTGTATCCGTGCATGGGTGTACGGGTGTGGAGACCACCGCAAGCAATAACGAGAACCATTCAGGAAACTCATTGTCCACCTTCACAGGCCATGGGAAATAGCTCTAGTTTCTTGAAAAAAAAAAAAGATAAACTACCGCATTTTATTCGTTTTTCCTTTCTTCTGAATACTTCTTTTTTTGTATGAGAAAATTTTATGTGGAATGCTGAGATTCCTGTCGACTTGTGGACGAAATAGTAATGATCGAATAAATGATTCGTATTTTCAAACTGGATTCACGTAAAATGATTTTTTTTTTAGAACTTTGAG